TGTCATTTAGGGCTGAACAGTCAACAGTCACTTATTCTCAGCACTTTGACGTACCACCAACCATAGCAAAATGAAGCTTCTCTGACAAGAGCTGGCAGAACATTAATCTGTCGACAAGTTTTTTTTTTTTTTTTTTTTTTTTTTAATGTGCATACTGTATGTGTAGGTGCCTCTGGAAGCCAGAAGAGGCTGTCACCTCCTGGAACTGGAGTGCTGGGAAGAGAACTATGGTCCTCTCTGAAAGAGTGGGTACTCCATTTAACCACTGAGTTATCTCTCCAGTCTCTCAGCATAAATATTTAGAGAGCAATTTGACCATTCTCAACATGTCCAGTTAGTAAAATAGCAGTATTTGCTCTCTTTTTAGAGCTTGTGACCAGCATGGAGTTTTTGAGTATTTTTTTGTTGTTGTTTTTAAAGACAATCCTCCTGCCTTCTGGAGTGCTGAGATGATAGGCATGTACAAACCATACCTAAACCTTTATGTAAATGTTCTTTTTAAGTTATTTGAAGAACTGAAATAGAAGATAAAATTTTTATTCCATTTCTGTTTTTGTAGAACATCATAATAGGTTCCGTGTTTGACACTGTACTTATTGTTTGATCTGGATTTACTATTAGTGGAGATTAATATCCACTAATATTAGAAGAGGGAACAAGGAGACAAACTGAGTATTGGTACTTGATAGTCAGCTTTAAATCATATAATTATCTCAGTACTTATTAAATCTGTATTGTAGAAACATGTATCCCCTTACACATCACTAAGGAGGTTGGAGTTACTCCCTTTTCAAACCATATTTCTTATGTTTGATGGAGACTCCATTCACTCTAGTCAGTGACTGACTGAAAAGCACTAAACCCATAAGGGAAGGGAAAGCTACATAACTAATTATCTTAAAATAGCATTTGACCTTTCCTGCATCTCTTCACATCTTTATTATTCTTGGTTAGATATTTTTAAATGTTACTCCTTCTTGTAGCTTTAGTTTTCTTTAGAGACCAAGGCATGAGTGCCTATAATTTAATATAATTACTTCCTTATAAGATTTATATTAACATTTTATTGGAAGACCATTGTCATGTCCTTTAAAAAAGTACTATACGCAAGCCTGGTATGGCAGATAAATCAGTTCTACATGTGAGTTCCAAGCCAACCAAGGCTAGTTAGTGATAATCTTGTCTCAAGAAAAGAAAACCACTCATCATCAGGGTGTGGTGTCACTCACCTTTAATCCTGGTTCTCTGGAGGCAGAGGCAGGTGGATCCCTATGTTTTCAAGGGCAGCCTTGTCTACCCTTGTAGTTTCAGGACAGCTGGGACTACATTGAGAGACGTTTTCTCAGACAAAAGCCCTGTGCTCATAAGATTATAGTCTTTATTAATTAGGGTTGTTTTACTTGAAAATTCTTAGCTAACAAATAATAAAGCCCAGCGCCTTGAAGTAGCAGTGACAAGGTCTTTACAAGGTATTCGTGGTCAAATGTGATTTTAATTTTTAGAATAGGATCCATAAGTCCTCTTTTCCTCTGGACAAGCAGGAGGACTTGAAGACTATTTTGAAGGACACAGTTCCAAGCAAAGGATTAGATTATAGTGGCCTTTTATGATTATAATTTGCTACCACATAGAATAGATATTATAGGTAATTAGAAATTGGAATATTTGAATTCCAGCTAAGAAATCAAAGGACTTTGCTGACTGACAAAGAAAATATTCTCTTCAATTTAAAAATATTATGATGTCTCATTGAAGAGATTTCATTGCTAGTAGTTTATTTCCTTTGTATTATTTGTATTTGGTATTTAAAGAACTCTCGCAGGAGAACAAATGAAGTTAATTTTTGTGAATCTCAAACTTAAGTGAACAATCAATCTACTGATATTAACGTCGTGATTAAATATCACAAGCAGATATACATGAAGTAGAAGAAATCTACCTGGTAAATGACTCAACTCAAAAGAACATTTTCCTAGGCAGGCATTGTGGAAGTCCTAGCACTGGGGAGGCAGAGGCAGTGGATCTCTGTGAGTTTGAGACTAGCCTGATCTACATAGTGAGTTCCAGGACAGTCAAGGCTTAGTGGGACCCTGTCTCCAAAAAAAAAAAAAAAAAAAAAAAAAAAGTGTGTGTGTGTGTAGAGAGAGATACATTCATACGTATATACACACATTGTGTACATATATGCATGTAGAAGTAATGGGGAAAATGTAACACAATTTTTCTCTTGTTAGGGTATTGCCATTTAAAAATTAACCTGGAATATTGAAAATAAAGCTCAGTTTTAATTAAAAGCATGGCAAGAAATGTCAGGTGGCAGTGGAAATGTATGTTTTTGACAATAAAAAGGAAAAATATCAGTGATATGCTTTGTCCATCTTCCTTAATGAAAGAGCTGTAGTTTAAATTGTTTAAAGTTGTGGGCACAATGAATGCTACAAATTGTGTTAATTTTTTTTAAGAGATGTAGGTGCTGACTACTAATGGTATCAAAAGTATATTCAAACAAGGCATGGGAGCTTATGCCTGTAATCCCAGTATTTTAGGGGACTGAAGCAGGAGACTGCTATGAATTCAAGGCTAGTTTGTGTTCTTCAGAATGAATTCAAGGCCGGTTTAAGACTACTATCTCAAAACAAAGCCAAACAATAATAAAATTAATATGGTCAAGATTGTAAGACTGTTTAAAGTGTTTTGTTTTGTTTGGTTTGGTTTGGTTTGGTTTTTGTTTTTTTGGTTTTTCAAGACAGGGATTTTTTTCGGTGTACCTTTGGAGCCTGTCCTGGAACTTGCTCTTGTAGACTAGGCTGGCCTCAAACTCATAGAGACTCTCCTGCCTCTGCCTCCCGAGTGCTGGAATTAAAGGCATGTGCCGCCACCACCACCTGGTGTGTGTGTGTGTGTGTGTGTGTGTGTATATATATATATTAATATAAGTTGCCAAAAATGTTAGTTGCCTACATGTAAATTCAAAATCCATTCTAAAACAGGGTTAATTTAGCATTATCTATATTCTCTCATAACTTAGAGTTAGTAAAAATTACCTAATCAACATGTGTAACAAATAAAAAGTCAAAGTAAACTTAATTTTTATCAGTAGTTAAGGAACAATACATACAGACTTCATAGCCACTTCTTTATCAGGTATAGTAGGGTTTACTTGTAGGACTGAGACAGAACAATTATAATTTTGAGACCTGTAGACCATCTCTCAAAGTTTAAAAGAAAGAAGTCCTTTTGGATTGGAATTCCTTTTTGCTGTAATCTAGTTTAAACTTTCCAATAAAATGATAATCCACACTTATTTTTTTTTTAGTTTTTATGTACTATATATATATATATATATATATATATATATATATATATATGTGCTCGGGATGTCTGTGCACCACTTTTGTACTGGGAGCCCATGGAGGCCAGTAGAGGGCATCAGATCTCCTTACTGGAATTAGAGAAACTTGTGAGCCCACTCCCCACATGGGTTCTGGGAATCGAACTTGGGTCCTCTGGAAGAGCAGCAAGTTCTCTTAACTGCTGAGACATTGCTCTGGTTGCTACATTTAATTCATAATGTAGATTAAAGTTTTCTATTGTGTTGACAAAGTACTTATTTTTAAATTGATTATATGACAACTAAGTGACTTTCTGAGTTAATTTAAAAGAATAGTGAAATAAAACTTGTCATCATTACTTTTTCAACCTTTTCTTAGTAATAAGTCAACTGAACTAGCAGAATTCACATTTATGTACAGGGTATAATTTAAACATGAACATGGAGGATAGGTCAGAAAACTCTTCATAGAAACAAAGTTATCAGCAACAATTTGAGTACTTAAGTAAATGTAGTAGGAGTAAGTGAATGCAATAGGAGTTTGCACATTAACCATACTAACTAAGACTAATAACCACATAAGCGAGTTCCTTTCAGTGCCATTTGATATAAGGCCTGGTTAGTGGCTGTTTAATCATTCATTCATGTAGCTACCAAACTTTCTAGAGAATGATGATCTTGCTGCTAAAATTTTATCTTGCCTTTGACTATTCAAGTGTTTAGTTTCTATTCTAAAAAATTCTGTCTGTTGGTTTATTTTTGTTCCCCTTTAAATACTATAATGTTTTTTTTCTTTTTCTTTCTTTTTTTTCCTTTGTTTTGTTGTTGTTCTTATATTGTTTTTTAAGACAGGGTTTCTCTTTGTAGCCTTGGCTATCCTAGGATTTACTCTGCAGACCAGGCTGGACTCAAACTCAGAGAAATCCGCCTGCCTCTTCCTATCTTTTGGTGGAATCCTTTAAATTGTGTGTGTGTGTGTGTGTGTGTGTGTGTGTGTGTGTGTGTGTTCATGTGCTCATGCTTGTATGCATATATACCACAGCATTTGTGGAGGTCAGGATAACTGTTAAGAGTCTGTTTTCTCCTTCCATACTTTGATAGATTTCTTAATGGTTCTGAATAGAAGGTCAGGATCCCTTTAATCACTTTATGGGACTTGTTTCAGTTCACATGAATGGTTAAGAAAAATACCTTTTTTTTTTTTAAGATTTATTTACTTATTATGTGTAGTGTTCTGCCTGCATATATCCCTGTGGGCCAGAAGAGGACACCAGAGCTCATTACAGATGGTTGTGAGTCATCATGTGGGTGCTGGGAGTTGAACTCAGGATCTTTGAAAGAACAATCAGTGCTCTTAACCTCTTAGCCATCTCTCCAGCCCTCCAGAAATGCTTTTTTTATCTCATTGTAATTAGAAAAGTAAAGTTATTGGGAACCAAACTTCATTAGTTTTATTATCTTTAATGAATATTGTTAGGTATACAAGGTTGAACTTGGCCATGATAGGTTGTGCTATCTTGTGTAACTAAATGGACCTATACATTAAAAGAATTGAAGTAGAGTAAGTGCTCACAAGTATTAAATCCTCATTGTTTATCATTTCATTAGTACTGAATCCTTAAAATATTTAATTAGTTAATGTTGATTCATTTTTCTGTTTCTTTAATAGGAACATGAATCTGAAGGTGGAAGAACACCTTTGATGAAGGCTGCAAGAGCTGGTCATTTATGCACAGTTCAGTTTCTTATTAGCAAAGGTAAAGCAAGTTTAAATGGTTGTGACTATGAAGCAGGTGGATAACTTAGTCATACCCAGCAACAACCCTGCTCATATAATCAGAATTGCCAGGAATAGGAACACATTGAATGCTGCCTTTCTAGCTTGTAGGAATGCTAAATAATGCCATTATCTGAACTTATTGTTAAACAATTTTAAAAAATCATCTAATGTTGCAAGAACATTCAGCTGGGCATGCAGGTTTTAATCCCAGCACTCAGGAGGGATAGTGGGTAGTGTCCCATTTCTTGTTCTAGGTTCTAGTTACACGGGTGTGTTTACTTTGTGAAAATTTTCAAGCTATACACCTATGATTTATACATTGTTTTGTATCTGTATCATAATTGAGAATCATCTTTAAATGATATTGTAGACTGGTTTGCTTTTCACCTTTGTTAAAATTACTGTTTTTCTTAAAGGTGCCAATGTGAATAGGGCTACAGCCAATAATGATCACACAGTAGTATCACTGGCATGTGCAGGAGGCCACTTGGCCGTGGTTGAACTACTATTGGCTCATGGAGCTGACCCTACTCATCGACTCAAGGTATTCTACATTTTTTGTTTTTGTTTGTAGTCAAAGGCTGCTTGTTTGTTTTCCATCTGCCCAGATCCAAAATAACCACACTGAAACTATATTAATTGCAACAGTGCTTGGCCAATGACTCTAACGTATTCCTAGCTGGCTCTTATATCTTAAATTAACCCATTTCTATTAATCTGTGTATCACCAGGTGGTTGTGGCCTACAGGTAAGGTTTTGTTCATTGTAAGGTTCCATCCGACATCTGTCTCCTGCGGTGGCTACATGGCTTCTCCTGGACTCTGTCTACTCTCTCTCTATATCTTTTCCAGCCTGGCTATATTCTGTTAAGCCATTGGCCAAAAGCAGCTTTTTATTACCGATGATATTCACAGCATACAGAGGGGAATCCCACATCATTTGCTTGTTGTTGGGTGTTTTTTTGTGTGTGTTTTGTTTTGTTTTGTTTGTTTGTTTTGTTTTTTTCAAGACAGGGGGGTTCTCTGTATATCTTTGGCTGTCTTGGAACTCACTCTGTAGATCAGGCTAGCCTCTAACTCACAGAGATCCTCTTGCCTCTGCCTCCCTGAGTGCTGGGATTAAAGGCGTGTGCACCACTGCTCGGCTTGTTTTTGTCTTTTGTTGTTTTGAAACAGGGTTTCTGTATATAATTCTTGCTATCTCTGGAGCTCATTTGTAGACCATAGTGTATACTGGTCTTAAGCTCACAGAGATCCTCCTGCCTCTGCCTCACAAGTGCTGGAATTAAAGGCATGCAGCACCACACCCAGCTCAAGGTATTTACTTAACTATATACTAGCTGAGTATGGTAGTATATAGTAACAGGATTGTCAGGTATGCTGAAGCAGTACTATTATTGTCAGTTCAAAACCTGCATGAGGCTGGGCAGTGACAGTGGTGCATACCTTTAATCCTAGCACTTGGAAGGCAGAGGCAGGCAGATCTCTGTGAATTTGAGGCCAGCCTGGTCCACAAGAACTAGTTTTAGTTCCAGGACAGGCACCAAAGCCACAGAGAAACCTTGTCTTGAAAAAACAAAACAAAACAAAAAAAACAGCATGGGTTAAATATTGAGACCATGTTTCAAAACAAAAAACAGAAACCACCAAATAATAAATTATTATTAGAGGTATGTTTGATCATTTAGTGCTTAATATTTATTACTCTTAAATATAATTTGAACTGCCTGTGGTAACAGTATTTGAGAAGCCTGAGCCATCAGGATTGCCTTAAGCCCAAAGTAATTTTGGGGCTAGATAGCAAGACTGTCTCAAAACCTGAAAATAAAATTATTACATTTTATTTTATTTGTCTTACTAGATAATTTTATCAGATTATAAGAATAAATTTATAAAAAGTTAACTATGATCAATTATTTCTTAGGATGGATCAACAATGCTTATTGAAGCTGCAAAAGGTGGCCATACCAATGTTGTTTCTTATCTATTGGATTATCCAAATAATGTTCTGTTGGTTCCCACCACAGATGTGTCTCAGCTTACCTCTCCTTCACAAGATGAATCTCAGGTAGAGTAAAATAGAATATTTTTTGATATAGGTATTCTTTGAAAGTTTTTGTTTAATGAAAACAGAAATCTTAATTATTAAGTTATCTTGGAAGTTCCTAGTATACTCCAGTTCAGTAAATATGTTAGAATTTTATTTTCTCTTTTACTTGTATAGAATTTGAACAAGAGTAAATTGACCAGTATATAGTGAGTATGTGGTTTGTACTCCTAACTATAATTGGTGCTGCAATGCTTTTCACTTCAGCAAGAGATAATAACATTAATATTAATTAACCTAAATCATTGAAATATTGTCTTGAGTCTTCAAATTCAGTATTCTCAGAAATTATTCCTTGGTGAAGGCTTAAGAAGAAAATGTTAAGTTTCAATAAATAAAGTTAGGGGATGGGAGAGATGGTTTAGCAGTCAGAAGCACTTGTTACTCTTGCAGAAGACCAGGCCTTGGTTCCCAGCACCCACATGGGGTCACAACCATCTGTAACCCCAATTCCAGGGGAACTCATGCCTCCTTCTGACCTCCAAGAGCACATGTGGTACACATACATACACTCAGGCAAAATACTCATATACGTAAAATAAATCTAAAATAGAAAAGAACAAACTTGTTGGCATATGAAGAAGACATAAAACAATATATGTTTTTTATTTATGAACCTTTGTTTTCTTCTATGATCTGAGATGACTTTTTTCTGAGTTGATGTTTTAGGTTCCACGTGTACCCGTACACACACTTGCCATGGTTGTGCCTCCCCAGGAACCTGACAGAACTTCCCAGGAGACATCTCCTGCCCTCTTAGGAGTACAGAAAGGTTAGTTGTTAAATTATTTTCCCTTTTCAACTAAATAAATTATACTTTAATGGTTAATAGATATAATGTACCTGTGAGCTGATTGAGAAATATAACTTCAACAAATGTCAGTACTGTTAGTGGATGCTTAGGAAAGTCCTAAATACTAGAAAAATGACTTACTGTTTTTCTGTTAACATGCTGCTTGATATAGTTTTCCATTGATAAAATTACTTAAATAATTTAAGCTTTATATTATATTAAAGCAGAAATTTTTTTTAAATTTATTTTTATTATGTAATGGTGTTCTGCCTGTATGTATCACTGCAGGCCAGGAGAGGGCACCAAATCCCATTACAGATGGTTGTGAGCCACTATGTGGTTGCTGGGAATTGAACTCAGGACCTTTGGAATAACAAGCAAAGCTCTTAGCCACTGAGCCATCTCTCCAGCCCATAAAGCAGAAAATTTTGTCAAACCATTTTTTTAGCTACCTGACAGTTCTTATTTTGGTTTTCAAGACAGGCTCTTGCTACCTAGCTGTGGCTGGCCTAGAACTTAGTACTTGGACTAAGCTGGCCTAATTTTGTGGTATCATTCGGCCTCTGCCTCAGTGCCAGAAATAGGAGCATGTGCTATAACACCTAGCTTTTATTTGACAATATTTTAGCCAAACTGTAGAAATAGGAGCATGTGCTATAACACCTAGCTTTTATTTGACAATATTTTAGCCAAACTGTAGTGTAATAATAAAAATATGTGCTGGCTACCTTGGTAAATATTTACAGCATCAATTTAATCAATGAGAAAGTGGTTGAAGAATTGCAGTTTTGCTTTTATAATGCAGGAATACAGTGGGTGAACCTGGTCAAATGATTATCAGTCTGTGAAGATCAAAATGTATATGAATAAAATCTAGATGACTTTATTAATGAAATATTTTTTTAAGATTTATTTATTTATTTATGTATACAACATTCTGCCTCGATGTATGCCTGCATGCCAGAGCAGGGCGCAAGATCTCAATACAGATGGTTGTGAGCCACCATGTGGTTGCTGGGAATTGAACCCAGGACCTCTGGAAGAGCAGCCAGTGCTCTTAACCTCTGAGCCATCTCTCCAGCCCGGAATAATTTTTTTTTGACATTTAAGACAGGACTTTACGTTGTAACCCAGGCTGGCCTGGAATTCTCTTTGTAGCCCAGGCTCCCCTCATGCTTATGGCAATCCTCTTGCCTCAGTGTTTTGAGTGCTGGGATTGTAGGCCTGAGACCCAAATTATTATTATTATTATTATTATTATTATTATTATTATTCACTCTGTTTGAAGGACTCAAGCTGCTAAGGTTTTGTTCTCCTATCTTTTTATCTCTAGATATACAGTATCTTCTCTTGATAATTATATTTTGTAATCTGAGTTTGCTGAAGTAATTTCTAGGATTTTAAAAACCACATAAGAGTTGGAACTGTTAGCCGGGCGATGGTGGCGCACTCCTTTAATCCCAGCACTCGGGAGGCAGAGGCAGGCGGATCTCTGTGAGTTCGAGACCAGCCTGGTCTACAGAGCTAGTTCCAGGACAGGCTCCAAAGCCACAGAGAAACCCTGTCTCGAAAAACCAAAAAGAAAAAAAAAAAGAGTTGGAACTGTCGCATAGTAGTGAAACATTTATGTAGCATACATGAGGCCCTGGATTTTATCATCAATACCCACTGCCCAAAAACTTAATGTAAAAATTTTTATGAATATATCTTATTTAGTGTATAAGAAATAAAAAGTGATTGAAGTCACAGTTAGATACATGTTTATATGTTAATGTAGCCACCATATCTGTCTTCCTTCTATTTTTAATCTTAGCAAATGAAACATACATTTTTAAAGTAATCTAACCATAATAACCAGCTAACACCCATTTCTAAAATATTTTAAAGTACCTCTGGGTTTTTTTTTCCAGATTAAAAAAATTATTAATGTGTTCATATTTTCACATGATGTGTGTGGGAATGCATGTGTGAAAGTCAGAGAACAACTTTATGGAATGGGTTCTCCTTCCAGCTCTACTTGGGTTCTAGAGATCACTCAGGTCACCAGGCTTGCAGCAACCACCTTTACCTTTAGGATAATTCCACCATCCTCATGTCTCTCTTCCTCCTAAGTACTGGGATTACAGGTTCATGCCCCTGTACCTGGTTTGTTTTTGTGTTTGAATGACTAAACGCCATAAAGGACTGTAAGAATTTGGGCTTCAGAAATTCAGGGGTTTTTTTTTTGTTTGTTTGTTTGTTTTTTGAAACAGGGTTTCTCTGTTTAATGGCTCTAGCTGTCCTGGAACTAGCTCTGTAGACCAGGCTGACCTCGAACTCACAAAGATCCACCTGCCAAGTGCTGAGATTAATGGCATGCACCACCACTGCCTGGCTCAGAAATTCAATATTTAACAGTAAATAATTTTTCAACGTTCACACAAAACCACAAAATAACCAAAAAATAATCTAGACAAATTGTTCAGAGAGCAAATAGAGCATTTTAAATCTAGAGCTAATGTGTAAGCAACAGAAAATCTTGGGTGGTGATCTTTATGTTGATATTCATAAGCACGATTTTGCTTAGAAATTATCATATACTAGGGATCCACTTCTTTCTTCGATTCTGTTTTATTGTTTTTACTGAATGGTATAAAAATTAACCTTTTAAACACATTTTATTAAATTAATTTTTTAGTATTTTATTTTATTCATTTTACATACCAACCACAGTTCCCCCTCCTTCCTTTCCTCTCCCTCCTCTGTTTTGTTAAATTATTAAGGAAGGACAATAGTTAATATTTGTATCTAAACACTTGGGCACTTTGTCTTAACTACCTAACAATTATAAAGGAATGTATTGTTATAATATATTGAGTTCCATTGTCATTTAGTTAAAAAAAATCAGACTCATTGTAGAATCTTTGTCCCTGTAAATTCTGTTGTTGTTTTCTTAAATCACTTGGAGGCTGGAAAGTGGCTTAGCAGTTAAGATTTCTACTCTTCCAGAGAATCTGAATTTGATTCCAAGACCTATGTTGGGCAACTCACAACTACTTTTAACTACAATTCCAGAAGATCCAATGCCTTCTTTGTCAGTGGGCACACATACACAAATATTAAAATAAAATCTTTCAGAATGTATAAGTCTTTTGAGTTGGGTGTGGTGACACAAGACTTTATTCCATCCCTTGGGGGACAGGCAGATCTCTGAGTTTGAGGCTAACCTAGTCAACATAGCAAGTTCCAGCCCACCCAGGGCTGCATAACTAGAGTCTGCCTTAAATAAATAAATAGATATGAGCTATTTGATTATTTAAAAATACACAATGAACACGGATAGGTTAGATATAAAAATCCACTTAAAACATAGATGTATTAAGTTTTTAAAATTACATTGTATTTATCTTGTGTATATGTGTGTGATCGCACAAATGGGAAGGTCGGAGGACACTTTGCTGGGTTGCTTAGTATGTAGAAAGCCCTGGATTCAATTTCTAATACTGCAAGTTTAGATTTTGTTAGCTTTCTTCTTTTTCTTTGTGGTACTTAGTACTGAAGCCAGGATCTCACACCCAGTGCTCACTCTACTACTGAAATATATACCCCTGGTAGCCCAATATATCTTTGTGTACCTCAAACCTTCTTGGGAAATAATTCCTTTTCTGTGACTTTAGTTACAGAAAAGTGCTATAGTACTTATAGTACTTGATTCTCACTTCCTTCTGACTTGTCACTTCTCTTTTCAGTACTTCAAATGTAGTGTTGAATTAATCACACTCAGTTCCTAGTAGTTTTGTCATTATAACTCTTCTGTTTTATTTTCTTGTATTATTTTCCCTTCCATTATTTCCCTAATGTGTCCAAAGTCCGCAGTCCTTTTCTTATACGTTCTTATAAAATGCTCACTAGTTTTCTCTGTGATTTCCTCCTGTATCATTCCCCCACCTTTTTTTTTTTTTGAGATAAGATCAAACAATAAACCTGGAACTCACCTATTTGACTAGACTAGCTGGCCAGCAGCCCCAGTGATTGCCCTGTCTCTTCCTCCCCATTGGTGAGATTACTGGTGTGGGCTGCTATACCTGACTTTTTATGTGGGTGTTAGGGATCCAGATTAAAGTCTCCATGCTTGCAAAGCAAGTACTTTACTAATGAAATCATACCATGTTTGTGTAGTGGGGTGTGTATGTGGGGGAAACAACATACATGGACACACACAGACATGTGCACACATCCCTGAGTGCAAGCATGAAGATGAGGAAGGAGTTCAGAGCCAGGTTTGGCTCATGGGATTGTCTCAAAAAAATGAAACTGACATATTAATTAAAGAAAATAATATGTAATATATACTTAAAAAAAATCAGGACATAGTAATGAACTTGGCCTTGTAGCACATTCTTTAATCCTAGCACAGGTGAAGTTGAAGCAGGAGGATCACTGTCAGTTCAAGACTAGCCTATACTACAAGCAAGATCTTTTCAAAATATAAACAAAAGGACTGGGTTGGTGGTAAACGCTTTTAATCCAGCACTTAGAAGGCAGAGATAGGTGGGTCTCTGAATTAGTGGCCAACCTGTTCCACATGGAGAATTACAGGCCAGGCAGGGCTGCACAGTGAAACTCTGTCTTTAAAAGAGCAGTGTTAAAAGTTGTACTTTTAAAACTTTGACGATGTCTAGAGAGATCCAGAAACAGAAGTGTAAGGGAAAATGTGTGCCGCCTCACCTCCAGAGTTGTTTATTGGAGTCAGTGTCATGAACTCTCATGCTTTTATGAGAAATTATTAAACTATAGAGAAAAATTTGCATATGTTGTAATTCAAATTGAATTTTCTTCTGTAAACTTTACTAATATCTCTACTAATTTTTAAATATGTTTATGTAAGTTTATGCATTCCCAAACTTACCAATGTGCTTTTACATATAACTGCTTTTATTAAAAAAAGATAGGTTGGGTAAATCTGTTATCATGTAACATAGATGGTCTATCTTTGGACATCTTGGTTAAGAGATTTCTGTGTTAAAACTGTAGATAACAAATGTTTTCTTTTGGTCATTTTTTTAAATTACACAATGTGCTAATTCACTGGTACAGATTTGAAAATAATAAGGTTAAGCTCATTTTAGTAGAGGACTAAATGTTTCACAAGTGCATACCTCAAACACCTATTGCCCATAGAAATAAACAAGTTAATGAAGGTACATCAGTGGTGGAGTGGGCATGGCTCAGTGGTAAAGCATCTACCACGCACAAGACTCTGGATTCCCTTGCCAATACTGCAACAGAAGAAAAGGTCTGGGAATGTAACTCAGTGATAGAATGTTTGCCTATCATGCACAAAACCCTCAGCCCAGTCCCCAGCAACAGAAAATCCCAAAATACAGCAATAAAGCTGATTTTAAACTGCTATAGATCACAGTTTCTAGTGAGTGCATACTTTTCCTAGGTTTGTTACTAGGGGGAAAAAAGCTTAGAGGAAACAATAAGTGTAGGACAGAAGCCAAACAAAAAGAAATGGTGTCTATTTCTATTTCTAAATTGTACTTGGTATGTCAACTCCATGATATCCATGTACACATTCCTGTATGTGTGTATGTACATGTATACATATCTGACAGTGGTTAATGTTTGAAGGGATTGGAAATCTTGTTTTCTTGTGTTTTTTAATACTTCATGTTAAATTTTTCTCATCAAATGAAGCCCTTTTCAAATTTTTACCCACTAACTGGTATTTCTACAGTTTCAGGTGACATTTTGTTTTTACCACTCTTGGTTTATAGATTGTGTTAGTGCTTTGATGTGTTCTTGTCTAAACAGTTTTAACTCCCTAGTTTTGGATATTTCAACTATTGACTATATGAAAGAAAACTGCTTTTTATGCATTTTAATTTTTATGTTTTCATTTTGTTATGTATGTGCACATGCACACATGTCATGATGTGTGGAAATCAAAGGACAACTTGAGGGAGTTGGTTCTCTATTTCCACCAAATAGGCCCTAGGGATCAAACTCCTGTTATTAGGCTTGCAACTGTGTCATCTTGCTGGCCCATTGTGTACATTTAATGTTTTTTAAATTTAATGTGTATATGTGTGTGATTGAGTGTATTTATGTGTACCATGTATATGCAATGCCCATGAGTACCAGAAGACATGTTGGATGCCAGGAACCAGAGTTACAGGCAGTTGTGAGTTGCTCAACATGGGTGATGGGAACTCAACCCAGGTTCTCTGGAAGAACCTCTTCAGCCCCCAAATAATGCTACGTATGTTCTAAGAAATGTCTCTTTTAGTTCCATGCAGTATTTCTAATACAGTTGAGCATATCATTAGTATATCTTTCTGTGCTTAACATTCTTTTCTTGTTTTGGATCATCTTACCTGTGAATGTTTAATGCGGGCAGCCTTAATCCTGGTGCACTTGCAACTATATTAGGAAAGTTTGAAGGAATATCCAATCTTGCTGAGCCTTTGCATTTACTCTGCTTATGTCATTACATCTCTTTATGAAACTGAAATTTTTACTTGCTGTGCTAGTGGATTTAGACCTTGTTATTTGTTGTAGTTTTGCCTCCTTTTTCTTTCCTGTTAAAACATTTGGCTCCTATAGTCTTATGAAACTAATAATCAAATTATCTCTCAAATCTAATATCTTGGCTCTGAAAGAATAGTCTTTTCCTACCACTTTGCTTAAGTAGAAACATGAAATTAAATATGACATGCATTGCTGAATTTGCATTAGGAGTAAGTAAGCCTCTGAAAGTGACTGCAGTATGGTACTGAAACTGGTCTTCTGACCAAGGGGAAAAACCTTGGATCCTTTTAGTAAATTAAAACATAATGCATATTTTTGAACTACTTAAAGTTTTTTATTTAATTTTTTGGAGATGTAGTCTCAATTGTGTTGAATTCCATATCCTCTTCCTTCAGTTTGGTAAGGAACTGGTATTATAGGTGTGTGCCATCAGGCCTGGCATGTAGCTCTAAGAGCTCTTATTTTCCTTTATTCTGTAAGTCTTTTAAACTTGAGAATGAATTTTGGTATAAGATTTTTTTTTTTCTTTTAAAATTTCTTATGTATGGGCTGGCAAAATGGCTCACAGGAAAGAGGCATTTGTCTCCTTGCCTGATGGCCTAAATTTGATCCCTGGATCCTGTACGGTAGAAGGAAGAAAACTGATGTCTGCAAGTTGTTTTCTGACCTCCACAGTATGCTGTGACATGAACACACACACACATTCTCCCTCTCTTCCTCTCCCTAAACAAACAAACAAATGTTAGAAAAAAAAAATCCTTGAATGTGATAGTGCATGCTTGACTTGACCTCCAGCACTCAAGATACTCAAACCCTGGGATGTGAATTTGAGGGCAGCCAACTGAGACTCAATCTTACACAAAAAGAACAAAACAGATATTAAATGACCTATGATTTTTAGTATTAACTACAATTCAGAAGAAGAATCGTCTATTTTACCCAGTTCTTTTTTTTAAAAAAAAAAAAAAGAAAGAAAGAAAATGCCTTTACTGGGGAGATGGCTTTGTGGTATAAAGCAATGTTGCTCTTGCAGAGGACTGGGTTTGATATCCAGTACCCATATAGCTACTTACAAGCTCTGATAACTGCAGTCCTGATGGATCTGACCCTCCTCTTTTGGCCTCTGTGGGTTCTAGGCATGCACAGACATACTTGCAGGCAAAGCATCCATACACATAAATTAAGTAAATACATTTTTTTAAAAATTAAAAATTGCTTTATTGTTTTTAACTATCAAGTTCACTCATTAAAATATGAAATGCAGTATGTTTTGGTAAATTTACCAAGTTCTGTGACAATCATCACCATCAAGTTTTGAGGGGTCCTCATTATTGTTACTCTTGACATTGAGACAGTCAGCCTCCCCCCACTTTTTTTTTTTAGACAGGGTTTCTTTGTAACTTTGGAGCCTGTCCTGGAACTAGCTCTTGTAGATTAGGCTGGCCTTGAATTCACAGACATCCACCTGCCTCTACCTCCCGAGTACTAGGATTAAAGGCGTGCGCCACCACCGTCTGGCTAGACAGTCGGTCTCAAAGTCCTCATCTCTTGCCTCAGTCTCCCATTTTTTGGGAGTCAGGCATTCACTACTCCACACAGTTCCCACTTAGCTTTAACTGCCCCTAAAAGATCTGTTACCTGTTTGCATTTGAACTTTATTCTCATTGCCATACCCCAGGGCCACTACTTTCTTTTCTGTCTTATATGTCTTTTCTCTATAAATTTTATGTTAAGTGAGATTTTACAGTATGTAACTTTGTGTCTGGAATCTTATTTAACTCGGTGTTTTGAAGTTCATCTGTGTTGGTAGATGCATCAGTTATTTGTCCCCTCGCCCCAAGTAGTCCTAGTTCTTCCTGAATAGAATTCATCCCTGAGTTTGCTCAGACAAATCAAGGAGCACCTCAAAATTTTTATTTATCCCCTTTAAGGCTATTAATAATTACTTTACAGCAGACTTGTTATAAAGGAGGAACAAATATATTTAATAACCTTAAATAATTTTTTTAAAAAAAATGTTATCAATATGAGTATTCCTATATGGAATGTCTGATTTTTCTCCCTATTAGTAACATTCATTGTTTCTCTCTTAAATGGATATTATTTAAATGGTTTATTTAAAATTAGATCCTTTGTGGTATAAGTTTAACACAGTGTTTAGGTAGAGCAATGTTAGCCTTTTTATTGGAGAATTTTATAATGACTCATATTTGGTTTATTGAGAACAAGGTTCTAGGTAGCTCAGGCTAGCCTCACATTCAGCTATGAATTGAGTATAACCCTTAATACTTGATTCTTCTACCCTGTCCTTTGAGTGTTGACTTTATTGGCATATGGGTTACCATGCCTGTCTAAAGAGATAATGTCTTGAGAAACTATTTCACATTGTATTTTAATGTAAGAATAGAATTATTTTGCCAACTTAAAAAACATTTGCCCCATTTGGTTCTCTTGGAATAAACTTTACTACTCACTGTGTAGCCTTGGGTGACCTAGAATTTACGTAGACCAGCTTGCCCTGAAACTCATGAGAATCCCTCTGCCTGCCTCTGCCTCTGAGTGCTAACATGCTCAGCTAGATTTAAAAAGTCCAACCTGATAAGCAAAATTCTGAGGTTTTTTTTCCTTCCTTTTCTCTTTGTCCCATCATAATTTCTAAAATCATCCTACATTTAAAAGTATATTTTTTTAAATTCAAGTTTGAGTTGATAACATCTCAGTTTATGCTGTGCAAAAACAGATGAGATAGTTGAGGTTTAATCTGCCTCACTAGTGTGACTTTTGAATCTTTCTATAGCATTAGTTATAATGGTTTGGGGAAGGAAGTCTGGGAGAGGGGAGGAATGTTTTTTGTGTGTGTTTTTATTTTTGGGACTCTGGTTTTTGGTTGTTTTTTTGTTTTGTTTTCTCTTTTTTTCTTTTTTCTTTTTCTTTCTTTCTTTTTTTTCTTTAGCATGGCACTTTTTCAAACGTTTTTCATGTGCTTAGGTGCATCCAAGCAGAAGTCCAGTTCCCTGCAGGTAGCAGATCAGGACCTACTGCCACCTTTTCACCCATACCAGCCTTTGGAGTGCATAGTAGAAGAGACTGAAGGCAAGCTGAATGAACTGGGACAAAGAATTAGTGCTATTGAAAAAGCACAGCTTAAGTCATTGGAGTTAATTCAAGGTGAGCCTCTAAACAAGGATAAGATAGAAGAACTTAAAAAGAACAGAGAAGAACAAGTCCAGAAGAAGAAGAAAATACTGAAAGAACTGCAGAAAGTGGAAAGGCAGTTGCAGATGAAAACACAGCAGCAGTTTACCAAAGAATACTTGGAAACCAAAGGTCAGAGAGACACAGGGTCTCCACACCAGCAGTGCTCTCATAGAGGAGTCTCCTTGGCAGGGGATGAAGATGGCAGTCCCCCAGAGGATCACTCTTCAGAATCACCCCAGGTTGATACAATCTTATTTAAAGATCATGGTATTGGTGATGAGCAACAATCTCCACCATCAGCAGAACAAATTGATTTTGTCCCAGTCCAGCCTCTATCATCTCCACAATGTAACTTTTCCAGTGACTTAGGTTCTAATGGGACAAATTCTCTTGTGCTTCAGAAAGTATCAGGTAACCAGCAGATCATAGGACAGCCTCAAATTGCTGTTGCTGAACATGAGCAGGGGCTGTTAGTACAAGAGCCAGATGGACTCATGGTTGCAACTCCAGCCCAGACGCTTACCGACACTCTTGATGACCTGATAGCAGGTGGGTTAAGAAATATATCTAAAATACTTTTCTCTTTTATCTGTGTGCTCAACTTCTTTAAATGCCCCTTCAAAAACACAAACTTTGTATTTCTCTATTTAAAACTGTCTTTGTAAAATTACTGGATTCCTTAGGAATTATGGAAGTGAATTTAAGCCCAGTAGCACTAACACATTAAGGGAGTTTTTCCCCTTTTCTGTTTAAAACAAACACACTTCAAAGATAAATAAGGTTCCCATAATTCTTTAGAAATTTGCTTTCAAAGACAGTTTGTTATTTCCTACATAGGAGCACTCAATAGAATCTTTTGTACAATTTAGAAGCACGCAGGTAAGGCTACCTATTTAATTTTCTTGCCTGTGAATTTCATGGTTGGACATGAGAATTTTAAGAGACACTACTTTTTGTTATTAGACCAATTTAATTATCTCTAATTAAATGGGAACAGCTGTACACTCTATGGTATAGAGTTTGTGTTCAGAAGATTAAAGTACATTTAAACTGTTGTACTTGTTTTTGAGATTGGAATTTTTGTGTAAACTCTTGATGAACAAGCATACAGAACACTTTATAGTGTGCTTGCATACATGCACATTCATGCACATACACATAGAAAGAAAAAAGGCTAATAATCTTAAAATGTATGTTTCTGTTTATTGTTGTGTGGAAAATTACAACTAGATATGAAATGAGGTGCACAAGTTTACTTTCCCTTTCATTGTCCTTGCAGCAGTGGGAAAACAGTGCAATTAATCATTTACCTTCCTAAAGATGGCTGGTGAATGTATCACCTCCATGAGAGCCCAGTTCAGAATTGCAGCCAGAATGGCTGCTGACAGTGGATGAAGACCAAGAACTAAGATGTAGCTGGAGTGATATTCAAAGGCAGGCCAGTCCTCTGTCTCTTGATTGCAACATTTTTTTCCTTATTGTTGTCTGTTTCCTCTTGTCATATTCTCCTCCCCTTCCTACCCCAATTATACTATCCCAGTTTCCTTTCTTCTTTTGTGAGCCTTTAGTCTTCCTAATCTTTACTGAATCTTTAAAAATGTGGAATAAGAGTAAATCAGGAATTTTTATTGGGTATATGTGTTACTTCAGTTGGTTATAGATATCATTTTGCCTTTGAGGCTCCTCTGCCATGTAATAGATAGTATTGTGCAGAGGAGAAATATCTAGTGTTCTTAAAATTCAAATACTAGGAGGTATTTTAAGGAGTTAGGATCTTTATTCTTTAATTTGAATTTTTATATTTTTGGCTTGTAGAGCTTCTCATGTTAAATTTACTTTAGCCAAAACAGCTCTAAAGGAAACTTGTAGTTAACTTTATGCTAATTATTACAGGTGTTTCTTAAAAGTTTTTATTTCACTAAAGTGTTTTTAAATAGAAATGACCTTGTATAGAGTTCACATGAGACTTTAAAAAATTACCTCAGAAAACATCTTTTTTAGTGTTACATGTTGACATAATAAAACTTAATATGTATTAGACATTAACTACTTATCAGATTGTAAATAAGTTTTAAATTGATAAATAAAAAGTTCCATATATGAAGTTTATATGTTTTGAAATACACGGTAATAATTGTATTCTCTTTTCAAGATGATGATGTCTCACTTAAAACTATTTTTCCCAAGTCTAATTTTCCTAATTAATAGTGACAAAAATTAGACAAACTTAATAGCTAACTCTATAGTTGTAAAACATTTAAGGATATCAGTAGGATTATGGATCAAGCCATAATTAAATAGAATTAATTCTATTTAAATTTATTTTCATTATTGAAAGAGAGACTGATATATATTCTTCAAAGTATATATCTATCCCTCTAAAGGAAATGTTAATTTTCTTCTTTAAGAATGTTTTCGCATTATTGCTTTTCTACCTAAATATTTTCATGAAAATTAATAAATTGTTTATATACATAACTAATGTTATAACTTATTTACTTACTCAGCCTGTAACTGATATGTCATACTCTCTACAATCCTAAACAGAATATCTAATTTTGATTAGAAACATGGTACCTCAGATCTTCTTCTGAAAGCCTTAGGATTTTAGCAGTTACCATAATAACAAATGATCTCAAAAGTTAAAATGTATATCAAATTAATAATGAAATTGTACATGATATGTTCATGGAAGCAGTTATTAGATCTGTTATTTCTAATTTTATGTTTGTATTTTGTCAGTTTTCATTAGCTTTAATTGCCATTTTTCTATTTTCTTGATTTTTTTTTTTTTTAAATCCCTTCTTGGGCAGGGTTTGTTGACACCTGTAATCCTAGCACCTGGGAAGCAGGAAGAGAAGGTCAGGAGTTCAGAGCCATCCTCACTACTTGTCAAGTTCAAGGCCAGTCCAGGCTATTCAAGTCCTGTCTCAGATAAACAAAAAGGAAAGGAAGGAAAATACGCTTAGATTAAAACCAAACCAAAACAAAAAGTTAAGTCTAGAAATTTAGAGCAATTTAAAGAAATTCAAAATAGTTTTCATTGTTGAGCGATTTTAGAAAGCATTTAATAAAAATTCCATTAATATATAAAGAGGATTGGTTAAAAAAATTAATTTATTTACATCTATGGAACATTTACCATGTGCCAAGCTTTGTGGTAGTTACTTCATTTGCACCTTCACAAGCTGTTTTAAATCCTCCCATAAAATAGATTCTCCTTGGGGACGAGGCAGAAATCCTTAATAAATAAATAAATTTAAAAAAAAATAAATAAAATAAAATAAAAAAAAATAGATTCTCCTACCTCAGTTCCGTAGGAAAGTGAAGCTTAGAGAAGGGAAGTACAGAGTCTCCCCCTTGTACATTTCCCAGACTCAGGAGTTCTTTCTTACCTTTCTTTAATAAATCTACATCAATCTGCTCTACAAGAGGAATAATACGGGGAACTGCTAGTAAGTGCATAGTGCCAAAATCCACTCAGTTCAGCCATATTTAAGAACACTAGTTGAAGCTGGGCATGGTGGTACAGGCCTTGAATTTGGAGACTCTTGAGGCAGAGGCACGCAGATCCCTGAGTTCCAGGCAACCTAGAGATACATAATGAGACCCTGTCTTTTATTTACAAGCAAAAACAAAACAAAGAAAAGAGCCTTAGTGTTAGTGTCATGTATATGCATGTAGTTTGATTAAAAGTTTTGCTTTTATCTTAAAAATTCTATTATTTCTTATAACTTCTAAATCCTATTAAATAACAGTTGCTCTTACTTCTATATTAAGATTTGATATGTATGTGAGTTTTAATACAGCTTTGTGTCTAATACAGTATGGTTGTTGGTACTTGGATACATTTGTTTAAATTATAATTCTAGTGTAATTTGCTCTAAGTGCCCTTGCAGTGATCATTATTAAGTTTAAAAACAAAACTTTAGGCCTGAAGAATTGGCTCAGAGATTAAGAGCATGTACTGCCCTTCCAGAGGACCCAACTTCTGTTCCCAGTGCCCATGTCACGTGGCTCACAGTCACCAGAAGAGTTAGGCATGGTGGCACATGTCTTTAATCCCAGCATTCAGGAGACAGAGGCAGAGAGGCAGATGATTCTGTGAGTTTAAGGCTACCCATGTCTACATAAAGAGTTCCAGGCTAGCCAGGGCTTCATAGTGTGATCCTTTCTCTTACACGCAGATACATGCGCGCGCGCGCGTGCGCGCACACACACACACACACACACACACACAAAAGATCAACCACTTATGTTCCAGGGGATCAAAATTCTGGCTTTGAGTATCCGAACATACATGTGACAACACATACATAACATATATACAATAATTAGAAATAAGTCTTTTTACAAAAGAATTTGGAAATCCTGTTATTTTGAGGAGATTTATAAGATACTACCTCTAATGTTAATATTTTATTTTTAACCTTTAGTTTTGCTTTGTTTTTTAATACAGAGTTTCCTGGCTGTCCTAGTACTAGCTCTATAGCCTCGCCCTCAAAAGCCGAGGCATGTATATCTCTGAGTTCCACCTGTTTGAGTGCTGGGAGTAAAGGTGTGTGCCACCACCACCCTGCTTAGGTTTTAAATGAAACTGTTTTATCATTACTATGATATATACCAAATGATAGCAATAAAAAGTTCTTGTTTTATTTTTTTGAGGTACTGGGCATCAGGACATCACCAATGTAAGGGAAGTCCTCTATGTCCTCAGCCCAGTTTGTTTTTTGATTTTAAAATAGGATCTCACTCAGTGTCCTTAAGTTCACCCGATAGCCAGGCAGGCTTTGAACTTGTAATCCTTATGACTTGGCCCTTGGAGCAGCTGGGTTAAACTTATACTACCAGTCCTGGGACTTCTATTTGTTTTTGAGACAGGGTCTCATGTAGTCCAGCCTCTGTCTCGCAAGTGCTAGGATTTACAGGTGGGTAGCACCATGTCCACTAAGAGATAAAATTTTACAACATATTTTGTCTACCAATAGCAATAACATTTTTATGTTAAGATTTATTATTATTCCATACCATATGCAAAATTTTTCTTGGTTTCATAAAAAGTCAGGTTAAAATATTTTACTTGGTTCTAGTGCCCTACTTTTGAACAGAGTAAAACTTTAATTTGAATTGTATATTGATTTTTTTTGTTGTAGTTGTCTGGTTTTGTCATTTTAAGAGACATTTTGTTCAGAGATAGGAAATGTTTTAAAACTTATGAAAATGTTATGGTTCTAAAGTATAATGTTCTTATAATACAACCTTTATAACTTTCATTTGTAATTAATCCTATTAAAGACACTTTCCATGGAATGGTTCTGATTGTCATTATTACAGAGAAACTATCCTAGGATAATGTAGTATAAAAATGTATAAAACATAATCCATGTTTTGGGTAATAGAACTGTTAAATACACAGGAAGTGGTCTTTTTTGTTTGTTTTTAAAGTAAGTTCTGTAAAGGAGTCTTTCATAACATCACATTCTAGCTTTCCACCCTAGTCAAATACTTTTTTAAAAAATTTAAAATACCTTGCTTTCAAAAAACCACTAAAAAAAAGAGATGACATGAATAAATGAATAGAAGAAATACAATTCTTCCAGGGTATATGTTAATAATTATAAGACCCACCACTGTAAATCTGTCAGTAAGGTGTTAAATATCAATCTAGTATGCCGGGGGGGGGGGGTGTTTTTACGTATCAGGTATTTTGAGATATAACAATATTATCCGCTTCTTTCATTTTTGAATGACAAAAAGTTTAAAGCTTTGTGTCCAGTGTACATATTCTTTAGGTGAAACAAAAGTTTATGATATTATAATCATTCCTAGTTACTTTTGCGGTGAATAAAGTTGTTGGGATTTATATTGCCAAGATTGTTTTATATATCAGTGGGAAGCAAAGGAATGGTTCACAGAAGCAAATCTAGACATCTTAAATTTTGCTAAATCTAATAAATTAAAGTAGGATTGGCACATACCAGTAATCCCAACTCTTGGAAGGTGGAGCAGGACGGTCAGTAGTTCAGGACCAACCTAGGGTACATGAGACTCTCTCTTTGAAAATTAAAAGATCTAGTCAGTTACTAAGTTGAGTCCGTTATAAGTGTATTGCCATAGTGAAAGCTTCATTTTTTTTTTCTGTACTATTGGTTATGCGGGGGTTTTTTTCTGAGTTTTTCTTTCTTAAACAGTGATATTTTTATTTTCTAATACAGTGAATAATAGTACTGAAAGTATTGTAAAATGCCGTGTTTTACATTTATTGAGCACTTTCCTTGTGCCAGGCATGAGTAAGTGCTTTAAATACATTATCTCAGAAACTACTAGTATCTTTTAAAGATGTCCTTAACTCTTTGAGTCAGAATTCCATCCTCCATGAAACAAAAGATATAAGAGACATAAGATATAATTTTCAACTTTCTGTTTTCAAACACCACATTCTGGGTTTGTTTTTGTTTTTCTGAGACAAGATCTCATGAAATCCAGGCTGGCCTCGGATTTGCTGTGTAGCTGGGGATGACTTTGAACTGCTGGCCTTCCTGCCTCCACCTCCAAGTACTAGAATTACTGAAGTGTATCACCATTCAAAACTTCAAACTCCAAATTTTGTGATCTTTAATATAAATTTCTAGTATTCATTTTAAAAATAACTTGACTTTTAGAAGTTGATTTTAACTAACTGGTGCACATCTCCTTCCAACCACCCCAGACAGTGTTTCTCTATGTAGTCTGCGTTTAATCCCAGCAGGCATTTTTGAGCTTAAAGCCAACTTGGTCTACATAGAGAATTCCAGGAAAGACAGGGCTACATAGTGAGACCTTGACTCAAAAAAAAAAAAAAAAAAAATTAAATGCTGAATTTTTAAAAATACATCCCCTGCTGTTTATGTGAAAAATAATCTAACTTGTTGCCCTGACCTGCTACTTTTCATTATTTACAGAATATTTTTGTCAAACTTTTACAAGCTAAGATAAGCATTCTTTGTTTTGTTTTTTGTTTTGTTTTGTTTTGTTTGTTTTTGAGGGGTATCCCACTCTGGCCTTGAACTTGTGATCCTCTTATCTCAGACATCTGAGTCCTAAAATTACTAGTATGGATCACCATACCTGGCTACAAACTCTTAAATTAAGAAATGATATACTCCCTATTGGCAGTGCAAAATGCCACCATTTATTATATATCCACCAACAACTGGCTGTGTTTAGTTACACTTTAGAAACTTTCAAGGCGAGCACTACTCATATCCTAATTGAACATATAAATTGAGGCTCAGATAAGTTAAATAAATTGCATGAATTCAGAAAGTTATTCAATATACTTTCTTTTGACTCCAAAGCTTGTGATTTCACTGTAGTATGTTACTCACATGAACATTTCTGTTTTACATGTTTTTCTGTGTACAAACAGTATTATTTATTTAAATGAAATTTAGCAATATAAACATTTTTTTTCCAGCTGTGAATACCAGAGTGCCTGCTGGTTCAAATAATCCCTCTCAGACCACAGACTGTCCTACACCCGAATCCTGTTCTCAGACTTCAAGCAATATGGTTTCCCCACCCATGCCCCCTGTGTATCCTTCAGTTGACATTGATGCGCATGTGAGTAGATTCTGTATAAATTTATTTCACATGTTCTAATTTATTTTGAAAGGAAAAATTGTACATTAATGAGGGAAAGGATAATTTTATTGAGAACTTTAAAATATATGAATAAATATTTTTTTTTCCCTTTTTAGACTGAAAGCAATCATGACACAGCTTTAACACTGGCCTGTGCAGGTGGTCATGAAGAACTTGTATCTGTTCTCATTGCACGAGATGCTAAAATTGAACACAGAGATAAAAAAGGTAGGAAATATCACTCACAAATAAAATCTAAGTATTTACACAAGCACACAAAATTACAGAATTTTCGCTATGAATAAGTAGTTCTTATATTTTTACTAATAAAATAAATAGACAGTGTTCAAGCTTATTCATCTATAGAACCAAATAATTCTCTAAAAATTAAAAACCAAAATATAAATTACTAGTGAAGGTGATGGAGTAGGAGGGTTGAGCTCTTGCCTTGTGTGCCACAAATAGTGGATGCCTTTGTCTTTAATCCTGAGGTGGTGAGACCCTGAGGTGAGTATAGATTTTAATAGTTTTTGTTGATTTAGCATTTCCTTTTGCCAGGTGTTTTTATCATTAACAAATTAGAGTTTAGAACAGTTCAATGCTAAATTGTTCATCAGTATCTAAATTGAAGTCTTTTAAGTTAAAATAAAAGGAAATTGAAAACAGTGGCATTAAAGTAAATAAAACCACAGATATGTTAGAAGTTTTTATTTTCTAATTTAGGTTTTACCCCACTGATCCTGGCGGCAACAGCGGGGCATGTTGGAGTTGTTGAAATCCTTTTGGATAAAGGTGGCGATATAGAGGCACAAGCTGAACGAACTAAGGATACTCCACTTTCTTTGGCATGTTCTGGTGGTCGTCAGGAAGTATGTTAACATTGGCTTTCTTTTGTAAATATTTTGCTTATAGTTTTTAATGTATATATGCTTATTACTTTTTCAAGATTTTTTTTCAAACTTGTGTGTTTGCGCATGCACACACCTATGAAGCCCAAAGATTTAAGATCCAAAAGCTGAAGTTATAGATGGTTATGAGCTACCTGATTTGGGTGCTGGGAACTTGGGTCCTCTGCAAGTAAAGTAGGTTTTCTTAACTGCTAAGCTGTTGCTCCAGCCCCATGATTAATATTTTAACTACATGTGAAACACATATGATGTATAAAACACATGTGTTTTACAAGTTCAGTAGACCAGTGGTTCCCAACCTTCCTAATGCTGAAACCATTTAATACAGTTTCTTATGTTGTGACTACCAACCATAAAATAATTTTTGTTGCTATTTCATAACTAATTTTGCTACTGTTAAGAATTGTAAGTATCTGATACAATATGCAGAATATTTGATATGTGACCCCTATGTAAGGGTTGCTAAATCTCTGAAAAGGGTCACGACCCATAGGTTGAGAACCATTGCCTTAGATTTTCTGAGGACTGAAATACATTTATTTAAGTATAATGGAAATTGCACATTCGTTTTTAAAGGAATATGTTTTTACTCATAAATACAGATATGAATTGTCTTTATTTCTACATTTATTGGCATTCAGTCAAGTACAATTCTAACACATATAAAATGCAAATCCATTGTTCATTAATTAATAAGTGAAAAAGATCTTGTTTCCATTACAGCTGGGATTTTGAAACTCTGAATTTCTTTTCCCTGCCTGGCCATGGGTTTTTAGGACAGGGTCTCATGTAGTCCAGGTTGGCACTCAACTCATTATAGTTAAGACTGGCATTTCTTCATTTCCTGCTTTCACCATACACCATGGGATTTACAGGTATATGCAACTGCACAGAGCACAACACTCTGAATTTATTTGTGTCTCAGTCTCTTATGTAGCTGAAGGTAGCCTTGAAATTGAGGCAATCCTTCTGAGTCACCCTCCAGAGCTGGGGTTATAAGCATGAGCTACCACACAGGCTCACGGTTTTTTAACTTCTTGATAAGAAATTCAACTGGTCATGGTGGTGCATATGTATAATCCTAGCACTTTAGAGGCCGAGGCAGGAGAATTGCTGCAAGTTTCAGGTCAACCTTGGCTACATAAGCAAGACCCTGTCTCAAAAACAAATATGACCACCCCAAAAAAGATATTGAATCCATTTATCTCGTGCTGATATTTTAATACTTAAGGCTTAATAAAATATATTTAAAATGTCAAATATTTAGACAAGAAAATTGCAGGTTCTGTTTGTATTTCCTTCATTTTTAACTTGAGCACTAGGTATAAACTTGTTTTATCTGTCCATATTTTACTTTGTAGGTAGTAGATTTGCTGCTGGCCCGAGGAGCCAATAAAGAACATAGGAATGTGTCTGATTATACACCACTGAGTCTGGCTGCATCTGGAGGATACGTGAATATTATTAAGATTTTGCTTAATGCTGGGGCAGAAATTAATTCAAGGTATCACCTGTTCATTCATCTTATCATTTAAGATTGCTGAGTTTTTAACCTTAGTCTTAAGCATCTTAAGTAGGAATTGTGTTCTTTTTTAATTCTTCTCTCATAAATTGCATCCCTTTCGCAGTTTCCCTTAAGAGTTATGTTTTAAATTATGAGATTTTGCCATTCTTGATTTAGACAGATCTCTACGTCTATGTTAGAAATCTTTCTTTACTGACATTTTCATCTGTCATGCTTTGTTAAAAACACAAGGTATCATATTAATTTTCTGAGCACATTTCTTTCTTAGGACTGGGAGTAAACTAGGTATTTCTCCTCTGATGTTGGCTGCAATGAATGGACATGTTCCTGCAGTGAAATTGCTGCTTGATATGGGTTCAGATATTAATGCACAAATAGAGACCAACCGGAACACAGCTCTCACACTGGCCTGTTTCCAGGGCCGAGCAGAAGTAGTGAGTTTGCTTTTGGACCGCAAAGCCAATGTTGAACATAGGGCAAAGGTAAGAAATTTTATAATTTGCCCATTTTTTCAGTTTCAGTTTTATGGAAACATATATGGCATTTCCGCTTATCTCCAGTGCAGATTTAGGGAATTAAACAGTGCCAATAATACACATTATTAACATTTTTAAAAAATCACTTTAATGAGATATATAATTACTACTGGTAAAAACTCTAAACAACAACAACAAAAAAACCTAAAATCTGTTTTAATGTGATAAATTCTGAGAGATTCATGACTATTTGGAATTTAGAAATAGCAATACTTGGACTTTTTTTAACCTTGAAATATTAGGTACTTAAAAAACTAGGTTTTAAATGAGATGACAACTGAAACCTTATGTCATTTAAGATTGGAAAAATCTAGAAATTTCATCTGTCTCATTTCTAACAGTTAATATTTTTTTTGTATTTGGTTTGTTTGGGTTTGTTTGTTTGTTTGTTTGTTTGTTTGAGATTAAGGTCTTTTTATGTAGCTGTCCTACTTGATCTCTTTCTACAAAGAAAGCTGGCTTCCTGCATTTGCCTCCTGAATGCTAGTGTTAAGGCATGCACTACCACTCCCAGCCTTTTTATTTTTTTAAAAATTTATGTGTATGAATGTAATGTGTGTGTGGTGGTGATGGTGGGGTGCTGGTGAGATGGCTCAGTATGTAAAGGTATGGGATATCAAGCCTGGCCACCTTAGTTTCATCCTAAGATCCACATAGTGGAAGGAGAAAACCAACTACATCAGGTTATCCTGACTTCTACATATTGACCTGGTAAGCACTTGTGTACACAGGAACATACACACAAAGACATAACAAATGTAATACAAAATGTTTAAAAAGAAAATAGGCAGGCTGGAGAGATGGCTCAGAGGTTAAGAGCACTGATTGCTCTTCTATAGGTCCTGAGTTCAATTCCCAGCAACCACATGGTGGCTCACAACCATCAGTAATGAGATCTGGTGCCCTCTTCTGGCCTGCAGACATATATGCAGGAAGAGCCCTGTATACATAATAAGTCTCAAAAAACACATTACGTTTGTGTGTGTGTGTGTGTGTGTGTGTGTGTGTGTATTTTCATGAACATGGGTGGTATTTACTTGAGCAAGGACTCATTACCTGCCAGTGGTTGTTCCAGAAACCATAAACTCTGAGGGGTGGAGCCTTATGAGCCCTTCTGCCATCCATGATGGAATGTTGATGGATCAATCTTATGTAGGTAGCCACTGTTGCTGTTGATTTTATGGGTTCAGTGGTCATGTGACATCCAAAAGCTGACCTTTTCCTTTTCAATTTCAAGTATTAATTGTGGTCTAGTCACCTATTAAAAGCCCTAGAATAGTGCATACTGTTTGGAGATTATTATTTGTTTGTTTTCTTCCATTTTGATTTGGGTTTTTGTTTTGTTGTGTTGTGTTTTGTTTTTGAGACAGTAACCCAGGCTAGACTTGAACTTAACCTCCCGACTCTACCTTCTGAGTGCATGGAGTTACAGGCACTATGCCTGACTGAAGAAAAGTGTCTGATAAAAACTCAGGACAGGCATGGTGGCATAGTCTTAAGATTACAACATTATAGAAGCTGGGGCAGGAAGACTTCATGTTTGAGCACTGGTCTATATAAGTAAGACTCTTTCAAAGGGATAGGGGTGAGAGAATGAGCAAACTGACTCTGTAATTCTAGCTCCCTCAAACCCAGTCTTCCTGCCTCAGCATCCTAAGAGCTGAGTTAAGGCATCTTCGTACATGGCTTTGCTTTCCTTCTTGCATAAGATTATAAGTGAGTGTACTCTGGCATGCCTCATTAATTCTAACAATTCTCATTTGCTATTTAGTAAGATTTATTTATTCAAGTATTTATTTATTTTGGTTGAGACAGGATTTCATGTGGTCAATACTAGGGATTACCTTGAACTCCTCATCCTGATCCTTCTGATTCTACCTCCCAAGAGCTGGGATTACATGAGCTATCAGAAAGCTAATTTAATACAATTGAAAACAGAAAGTTATTTAGTTCTTTTGTGAGAGAAAATCAGAATGTACTTAAATATGAATTAGTTTAGTCTTTTAAAGAAATTACTAAATTCCATTGCATTCTTTACTGGTTTAAACAGACTGGTCTTACTCCCTTGATGGAAGCAGCTTCTGGAGGATATGCAGAGGTTGGAAGAGTTCTCCTTGATAAAGGAGCAGATGTCAATGCCCCTCCTGTGCCTTCCTCAAGAGACACTGCTTTGACAATAGCAGCTGACAAAGGCCACTACAAATTTTGTGAGCTCCTGATTAACAGGTGTGTAAATTTCTATTTATATATGTAGAACTCCAGTGATTCCTTTCACTGTCTGTGGGTTTTTAAAAGTAACCTTAACAACATTTTAAAAACATTGTTATATGGTAAAGAGAACCATAGAGTATCAACCTCTTATAGTAAACAGACTGTGGATATTTTTTGTTTATAGGGGAGCCCATATTGATGTCCGTAACAAGAAGGGAAATACACCTCTTTGGCTGGCATCCAATGGTGGTCATTTTGATGTAGTACAATTGCTAGTGCAAGCAGGTGCTGATGTGGATGCAGCAGACAACCGAAAAATCACACCTCTTATGTCAGCATTTCGCAAGGTAATGTGACATATACAGAAAAGACAAAATTTAATAATTTTAAAACAATTATAAGTTGAAACCTTGTGCAAAATATAAACTAATGCTGGGGAATTAAGAATATGTACACATAAAAGTCACTGCTGCCAGGCAATGGTGATGCTTGCCTTTAAACCCAGCACTAAAGTGATAGAGGCAGGTGGATCTCTGTGAGTTCCAGACAGCTTGGTCTATAGAGTGAGTCCAGGACAGTCAGGGCTACACAGTGAAATCCTGTTTTGAAAACCCAAACAAACAAAGTCACTAATTATTGCTAGACATGGTGTTTCCTGCCTTAATCCCATCCTCAGGAAACCAAAGACAGGAGAATCTCTGAATGAAAGGCCAACCTGTTCTACATGAGATCCAGGCCAGCCAGGGCTATAGAGTGAGATCCTGTGTTTAAAAACAAAACAAAAACAAACAAATAGTACTAGTGCCAGGTGTGGTGGCACACTCTATAATACCAGCATTTAGGAGATGAATTCTGTATCTTCAGAGTTCCAGTCCAGCCTTGGCTATAAAAGTAAGTTAAAGGCCAGCATGGGATAGATTAGTTCTTATCTCAAACAAACAAAAATGTTGCTGTCTTTTCAACATTGGTGGCTAAACCTAAGAATTATTTGCTATTTCACTATAATCAGCTTTGTTGTTGATTCATTTAGTGTCTTGACTTACTTTTTATTTATTTATTATGTATACAACATTCTGCCTCCCTGTATGCCCGCACGCCAGAGGAGGGCACCAGATCTCATTCCAGATGGCTGTGAGCCACCATGTGGTTGCTGGGAATTGAATTCGGGACCTTTGGAAGAGTAGCCAGTGCTCTGAACCACTGAGCCATCTCTCCAGCCCCTTGACTTACTTTTATTATGTCGTACTACTGAAGCGTGAAATTTGGGGCTGGGGAGATGGCTCAGTGACTAAGAATTCTTGTTCTGCATGCAAGAGGACCTCAGTCGGAATGCCTAACACCCAAATTAAAAGCCAGGCATAGCTGCACCTTCCTAGGACTCCATTGTTTGGATCAGGAACAACCTAGCCAGAATGGCTAGCTTCTGGTTCAGAGAAAAACCCTTTCTCAAGGCAATAAGGCAAAAATTAATAGAGTTAAACACCCAGAATCCTGCTCTGACCTCTACATGTGCACGCTTGCACACACACACCATGAAATTTAAGGAAAGCAATAGATATATACAGATGGTTGTTTCTGAATGAAACGGAATAAACTTTTATGAAAAATGGATAATTCATATCGTGTGTGTGTGTATATGCGTGTTCATTTTCTGCTTTTTTTTAAGTGCCTACATCTTTAAATTGATGACAAATAATAAAGTACCGCATGTGGTCTATGTTGCTCTTCTCTTTTTATGTACTGTATTGTTTTTATCAATGACCTAGAATGCACTAGGCTTTTTTATTTCCCTTTTTTGGAAATTTACTTCCTTACTCTTAACCTGGACTAATATTCTATTTCTCCTTATTTCTTATTTTAAATGACTTTTCAGAGTTTTTCTCTAATACCTAGTTTGAGAAAAGTTTTATAATTGAAATTTTATTTAGTTTGTAATTGCATCTTCAAACATGCCCATGAGGGCTAAAAAACATTACTATCATTTTGCTACTATTTACTCCCAGTTTTAAGGTTTCATTTTGTTTATTTATTTATTTTAGTTATATGTTTTCTTGAAGACAAGTCTTACTATATAACCCTGACTAGCCCAGAACTCAAAATGTAGACCACTGAACGGACAGAGCCTCTGCCTCATAAGGTCTGAACTTAGAGGCATGTGCCACCATACCCAGCTTAAGATTATCTTATATGTAGAATGTTTGTATGCATATATGTGCATCATATGCATGTTTGGTATGCACGAAGGCTAGAGAACATTGTATCCAATAAAACTAAAATAACAGATGGTTGTAAAACATCATGTGCATGCAGAAAAACAAACCCCATCTTCTGCCAAAGTAGCAAGTACTCTTTTCCACTGAGCCATTTCTCCAGCCCCCCAATTTATTTAAAATTGTGTGTATGTGTTGTGCATATCTGTGTGCGGGTATGTGCATGGTCATGCAAGTGGAGGCCAGAGGCTTTAGATCCTAGATACTGGGAACCACAGTTGGGTCCTCTGAAGAACAGTATACACTCTTAAACACTAAGCCATCTCTCCACCTCTAATATTTTTAAACTTAACAGTCTTTTGCTTAGTGGTGGCCCATACATTTAATCCTAGCACTGAGGAGGCACAGACAGGCAGGCCTCTAAGAGTTGGAGGCCAACTTGGTCTACAAAGCGAGTTCCAGGACAGCCAGGGCTTACACAGACAGACCCTATCTTGAAAAACAAAAACAAAACAAAACAAACTTTTTAAATTAAAGCCTAGTTTAGAGCAAAGAACATAAACCTTGTACACAGCTTAATGACTTTGTATCAATTCATATACTATGTGCTTCATACCCTATAAAGGTGAAAGGCAGTTTTTCTAACCCTAGATCATCTGGTATCTGTTTGCATTTATTTCCATTTTTTCTTTTGTTTTCTTTCTTTCTTTCTTTCTTTTTCTTTTTTTTTTTTTTTTTTAGACAAGGTTTCTCTGTAGTTTTGGTGCTTGTCCTGGAACTAGCTCTTTCAGACCAGGTTGGCCTTGAACTCACAGAGATCCGCCTGCCTCCGCCTCCCGAGTGCTAGGATTAAAGGCTTTCGTTACCGCCACCCGGCTCAATTAACTTGTTATTCCAGGTACAACTACTTTCTATTTTCTTGTCTAGAAACAGACTAATGTCTTTTTGTTGTTGTTATAGTTAAGAAGCCTGTTTATATGGGAATTACTTTTGCTGTCGTTTGTTTGGGGTGTGTGTGTGTCTGTCTGTCTGTTAGTGTAGGAATGGAAGTCAGAAAACAACCTATAGGATTCAGTTTTCTCCTACAATGTGGATCCTGGGGAATCACATTCAGGTTGTCAGCCTCTGTGGCAAGTGCTTTCACATTCTTAGCCGGGCGGTGGTGGCGCACGCCTTTAATCCCAGCACTCGGGAGGCAGAGGCAGGCGGATCTCTGTGAGTTCAAGACCAGCCTGGTCTACAAGAGCTAGTTCCAGGACAGGCTCCAAAACTACAGAGAAACCCTGTCTCGAAAAAAACCAAAAAAAAAAAAAAAGTGCTTTCACATTCTTGAGGATATTTTTGGACCTAATAGGAAGGGAAACTTAGCATGCTTTGTTCTATAAAGTAGATGTGCTTAAATTTTATTACCTATTCGAGCCTTCATAAGGGCATTTAGAAAGTGTTTTATCAGCCAAGCAGCTCACACCTTTAATCCTAACACTCAGAGGCAAGTGGATCTCTGAGTTGAGGCTAGCCTGGTCTACAGAGCAAGTTCCATGATAACCAGGGCTACACAGAGAAACCCTGTCTTGGGGAAAAAGAATTTTATCTATGTGCAAGTCATAAAACTCAGAAAAATTTTGTAGACCATCATGTTTATTATTAAGATAAAACCAAAATAATACTTTGAAACCTGGAAAATTGGTGTTTAAAGACTTAGTGCCCATTATATAATATCATTTCATATTGCCCATTTTTACCTTATTAGTAGGTCTATTATATAAAATAATATTTTCAATAATACTTTCCTGCTTTCTGTGGGAAATGGAATAATTAATGTCTTGTTTGGTTGCTTGCTTTTTTTTTGGGGGGGGGGGAGTGGAGATAAGTTATCTTTATGTAGCCCTGACTCTCCTGAAACTTATTATGTAAACCAGACTGGCTTCAAAGTTGCTGGAATTAAAGACATATACCACCATATATTCTTGAATATATTATACGTACCTTTTCCTGTTTATGAACTAAACAATATCCATGTTTTCAAAATTTTAATTATAAATTTAGTACACTATTTTAAAGTGTTAATTTTTCACATTAAGTTAAAAGTGGATAAAATTTCAAAGGATCATTTTGTCTTTTTTTTTGTTATGTTTTTTATAGGGTCATGTAAAAGTTGTTCAGTATTTGGTGAAGGAAGTCAATCAATTTCCATCTGATATAGAATGCATGAGATACATAGCAACAATTACAGATAAGGTAAGTTTACTGTGCTGTTGAAACACATTTTCATTCTTTGGCCTTATATGCCAAGAAGTATAATTAAGAACTTGTTTCCACTGGGCATGTACTCAGTGATAAGAGTATATGCTTAGCTGGCAGAAAGCCATGAGTTCAGTCCCCATCACCAAACAAAAAACAGTCTTTTTGTCATCTAAAGTTTAAAACGTGGGTCTTACTGGGTGTTGGCGGCTTATGCCTTTAATCCCATCACTGAGGAGGCAGAAACAGGAAGATCTCTGGGAGATCAAGGACATCCTGGTTCCCAAAGAGTCAGGGCTGTTACACAGAGTAGCCCTGTCTCAAAAAGTCCCCGCTTCACTCCCTCCCGCAAAAAAGATGCCTTTTTCTGTAAACGGACTTTTCCTTTCCTGACTGCCTAGTCCCAAATAACTGACTCAGAGGCCAAATATAAATTATAAATGCTCAGCTGATAGCTCAGGCTTATTACTAGCTAACCCTTACACTTAAATTTCTATTAATGTATGTATTTGCCACATAGCTTGGGGTTTTACCTGTCCTCCAGCATGTCTTATCTTTTGGGCAGGTTGCTGGCTGGCGTCTCCCCTGACTCTACCCTCCTTCCCATCATTCTCAGCCTTCCTGCCTAAGTTCCTGCCCAGCTATAGGCCTGTCAGCTTTTTATTAACCATTGAGAGTAATACATATTCATAGTGTAGAAAAGGATTGTTTTCCACCATTTGTCTTACATGGTAATGCACACTTATAATCCCAGTACTTGAGAGAAAGAAGCAGGGGGATTGCTAGAAGTTTGAGGGCAGCCAGAACTGCATAAGGAGTGATAGCTCTTTAAATTAAAAAAAAAACAAAAACCAAAAAACTTGCCACACGTAGTAGTTGCTTGCCATTATTTCCAACACTTGGTTCCTAGGAAGGAGGTTCAGCAATGTAAGTTCAAGGACAGCCTTAACAGTTTAATGGGTTGGAAGCTAGTTTGGACTGAGATGCTGTCTCAAAAAGAAAAAAAAAAATATTTAAAGGTCTTTCATTCTTATGAAAGATTGATATAGAACTGAATTCAAAGTTTAATTTGATTTAGCCAATTTTTAGTTGTTTAAGGTTTAACTTGTGGACCTTTCTAGTCAACTCTACTTATTTTAAATATTTTTACACTTATATAATTGTATTTTGGCCTGCAGGAACTGCTGAAAAAGTGTCACCAATGTGTTGAGACAATTGTGAAGGCCAAAGACCAGCAGGCTGCAGAAGCAAATAAAAATGCAAGCATTCTCCTAAAGGAACTCGATCTGGAAAAGGTGAGTAGAATGAGCATTCTGTTAGAAATCAAATTTATTATTTGAGCCGGGCAGTGGTGGCGCACGCCTTTAATCCCAGCACTCAGGAGGCAGAGGCAGGTGGATCTCTGGGAGTTCGAGGTCAGCCTGGTCTACAAGAGCTAGTTCCAGGACGGGCACCAAAGCTACAGAGAAACCCTGTCTCGAAAAACCAAAAAAAAAAAAAAAAACACAAATTTATTATTTGATTTATTAATTTATTGGCTGTATGAATAGTAGTCTTTAACATAATATGATTAAAAAGTAATTATTAATAGACATTTTTGTAAAGTTTTTATATTCTGAACTATCAAAATAAATATCAGGACCATGTAATTGAGGAACTAGATTTTTAGTCAAGTCTGTTTGTCACATGCTATCACTATCTAAGTTAAGTGGTTTTAACATTACTCTGAGAAGTATTCTAAAACACTAAAATCAATCCTTTATTTATTATAAGATTTGGATTAGAGTAGCTTATTATATTTCCTACTAGAGTATTTAAGGGTTAGAGGTGACTTGTCTAGGTGATAAGGGAAATCCTAGGTTTGTTCCCAGCACTGTCAGGATGTGTGAGACAATGGAAAAGATTTTAAGAATTAAAAGTCCAGTTTGCATTTCTGACACTATTACTCAAAAAGAAATAGAAATCTCCAATAAATAGGTGAAAAATAGTGAAAGCTGGGTATGGTAGTACATATCTATAATTCCAACACTCTGAGGATTAAGTAAGATGATTTGTTTAAGACCAGCCTGGGTACTACAAGACACCCTGTGCTAAAATATCAGTTCAATCAAGGCCAGGCATGGTGTTACACAGCTTTAATCACAGTACTAGGGAGGCAGAAGCAGGCAGACCTCTGAGAGTTTCAGACCAGACAGAGCAACATAGTTAGATTATTTCTTGAAAATGAATGAATGAATAAATGAAGGAAGGGAGGAACTAGAAAAAGAAGGGAGACTAAAAGTATTTGAACAGATTCACAAAGAATTACCATGTAGTATGATTTCTACAAATTAATGAGAAGGATATGTATTCTCAATTATCCATTTTTAGAAATCCAACAAGAGGCGTATAATCAAAAGTGTGAGTATGGATGGCCACAAAGATGGCTCAATAAGTAAAAGCACTTGCTGCAAAACTAACAACCAGGGTTCTATCCCCGGCACCCAAATAAAAGTGGAAGAACAACTCTACAATGTTGTCTCCCGTGATACACTGTGTATACACATACACACTTATGATATACTTGTAATTGTTGTACTACTAATAATAAATTTAAGATAAAAAGATATGTGTGCAAGGTCATTCATTGTTGTATTATAATGAGCAAAAGCAAAAAAAAACCTTAAAAGTCTTGTCATTAGGAAATTAATTTTAATATTTTCATGTACTTGATTACAGAAGCCAGACTGGGAAAGAATCATATACATTTTTTTATTTTTATCCATGTTCTGAGACAGGAACGTACTCTTAGCCAAGCAAGGCTGGACCAGAACTCACCTATGGCTCTGATAGAAATGAATTCATAGCAATATGTTTACCTTGGGCTCTCAAGTGCTGGTATTGCAAGAATGTACCTATGCAGCTCATTTTGTTTTGTTGCTCTTTGTTTTTGTTGTTTCCATTTTAATTTAATTGTATGTTTGTGGTGCTAGGGATTAAACCTGGATCCTTGCACGTGCCAGGAAGTATTCTACCTTCAGGCATGGTAGGCAAGCACTCTACTCCTAAGCTATATCACCAACCTTTTTGCTTTTATTTCAATACAGGATCAGGCCAGGAGGTGGTGGCACACACCTTAATTCCAACATTATTCCAGAGCCAGAGGCAGGTGGATCTCTGTGAGTTCAAGACCAGTCTGGTCTACACAGAAAGTTCTATGACAGCCAGAAAGTTCTCTGACATAAAGAAACATTATCTCTGAGGGGGAAAAAAAATCAAGACAGTATCTTATCAAGTTTCCTAGGGTAGTCATATACTTACTTCATGCTTACGAAGGCCTTGAACTTGCAGTCCTACTCATCCAATCAAACAGCTGGAATTATAAGCCTATATCACCAGGCCCAGCCTAGCTGAAAAATAATTTTTCTTCTGATGAGCCTTTTTTGCATAATTTTCCTAGAAATATAAGTAACATGTTTTCTCTAATTCCAGACAATGCTAAGCATCTGTTACTGTTAACTGTCTTGTGAAAGTAAAAGCTTATTTTTTCTTGTTAATCACAGATGTTAGCAAAACCGAAAGGTGATGAAGAGTTCTAAATGGGGCTTTAAATTTTTCATAAAGCAAGGAAAACTTAGGTTAGAAAGATGGCTCAGGGGGGCTGGAGAGATGGCTCAGTGGTTAAGAGCATTGCCTGCTCTTCCAAAGGTCCTGAGTTCAATTCCCAGCAACCACATGGTGGCTCACAACCATCTGTAAAGAGGTCTGGCGCCCTCTTCTGGCCTTCAGGCATACACACAGACAGAATATTGTATACATAATAAATAAATAAATATTTAAAAAAAAAAAAAGATGGCTCAGTCATTAAAAGCTAGATTCACAATCTCTACCACCTCTGGGGGGTGGGCGGGGAAACGATTTCTAATTTTATGTTAGTCTCTTCTCAACTTTTTTTTTTCTTTTGGTTTTTTAAGAAAGGGTTTCTCTGTGTAGCCTTGGCTGTCCTAGAACTCACAGAGATCCACCTGCCTCTGCCTCCCAAGTGTTGGGATAAAAGTCGTGTGCCCTGCTTAATCTCAGCACTTTTTCAGTGAAATTTGTCAGTCCTTTATAAAGATTACGATAGTTGTGTTTTGGGCAAATATGTGCCATAAAATTGTATTTTTCTATATTTTTAATGAGATTAAATTCTTTTTGGGAGATTTGGTTTTTTGAGACAAGGGTTTCTCAGTAGCCATGGAGCCAGTCCTGGAACTCGCTCTGTAGACCAGACTTGCCTCAAACTCAGAGGTCTGCCTGCCTCTGCCTCCTAAGTGCTGGGACTAAAGGCATCCCCACCACCACCTGGTAAGATTAAATTCTTATATCAGAATTTACCCATTTAAGCTTATACAAATCAGTGTAGTATATTCATTGACTTACGCATTCATAAGTCACCACAATCTATTTTAGATCATCCTCCCCCGACCCTGTTTATTTAAGACAGGCCCTTTTTGTGTCACACTGGCTGACTTGAAACCCAGAAATAAACCTGCCTCTGCCTCCCAAGTATATGTGCCACCATACCTACCCTGTTTTTTTGTTGTTGTTTTATCTTGTTTTCTTTTTAATTATATGTGTGCAGTGCCCAAAGTCAACAGATCTCCCTAAAATTAGAGTTACAGACACCTGTAAGCTGTCCTACTGTGGGTGCTGGAAACCAAACCTTGTGACCTCTATAGAGCAGTATATACTCAAGCACTAAACCATCTTTTCAGCCCTTCCCAATTATTTTCAACAGCCATATTAAGGAATAACTGACAGAATTTTTATATGTTAATATATGATTTTATTTATTTCAAAATTCAGTGTAAAAAACAATTTATTTTTCACTTAATAGTTTAGTTCAGAGGCAGGATCTCACTGTGTTATCCAGGCTGTCCCTGAACTCTTCAGCTGTTTTTCTGCAGCCTCCTGAGCTCTGGGATTATGGTGTATACCAGCACATTCAGTCTTACTTGATGTCTTGTCTACCACTACCACATGTTCAGCAAGTACTCCACCACCTGTTTGTTAGTTCACTTTTCAATTAGGTTATTTGATTATTATTGAGTAATAAGAGATGTCTGTATATTTTAGGTATACATGTTCCTTATCATAGAAATTATATGTATTTTTGGTATGATATGTTTTTTCACATTGTTGATCATTTGAATCATAAAAATTATTTAATTTTGATGACACCCAATTTGGTTTTTGTTTGTTTTTTTTTCTTTTTTGCTTTTATAAATGTGTTTGAGACTGGCATCCATGGGAAATAAAGAACAAAAATGTTATTTAGTATTTTAAATTACCACATTATTGCAGATGGAGAGATGACTCAGCTGTTAAGAACACTTGTGTTGTTACACTTGTGGAAAACCCAGGTTCAGTCTCCAGCACCCACATTGGTGGCTTTATCCATCCATAATTCCAGATCTAGAGGATCCCATGCCTGATTTTGATCTCCTCAGGCACCAGACCTGCCAAGTGGTGGAAAGAAACCTATATACAAAATAAATCTTAAAAAAAAATAATAAATGTTTTTACATTATTAAATTAATAATAATTTATTAATAATAAATTTATTAATTTATTAATAATAAATTTATTAATTTATTAATAATAATTTATTATAAATTAATAATAAATTAATTTATTCACAGTCAAGAGAAGAGAGCAGAAAGCAAGCTCTTGCTGCTAAAAGAGAGAAAAGAAAAGAAAAGAGAAAAAAGAAAAAAGAGGAGCAGAAAAGGAAACAAGAAGATGAGGAGAACAAACCAAAAGAGAATTCAGAACAACCAGAGGGTGAAGATGAAGAGGACAATGATGAAGATGGTAAAAAATGACTCATCTGAATTAAATGTAAAATTATCCTTTGTTAGCATTGTAGATTAAACCTGTAATCTTGTCACAAAGGATGCTGAGACAGGAGAATTGCCATGAATTCAAGGTCAGGCAAAGCTACATAAAAAGACCCTGTTTCTAAATAAACAAAAATAATAAATAAAATTTAAATAACCTTTTGGGGGTCACTCTTAAGAGTTTCATTACTTAATCTGAAATTAATAGTTGGCTTTTATAGCAAATTATACTAAATGCTTTACAGTACAAACTAATAAAGAAAACAAGGTGAGGGGGCTGGAGAGATGGCTCAGTGGTTAGGAGCATAGCCTGCTCTTCCAAAGTTCCTGAGTTCAATTCCCGGCAACCACATGGTGGCTCACAACCATCTATAATGAGATCTGGTGCCCTCTTCTGGCCTGCAGACATACACACAGACAGAATATTGTGTACATAATAAATAAATATTAAAAAAAAAAAGAAAACAAGGTGAAAGCAAGCATGACTTACTTAAAGAGGTGGTGTGTAATTTATGTCAACCTTGTATATATTTAAGGGTACAGTAAAAGGTTTGTCAGTTTTCCTTCAGGTTCTTTTCTACCTCTAACTTCCTTGATTAGAATAATTCCTTAGTAAATTCTTAGCTAAGGTTAAGGTTTAAAACCATGGAGGATAGACTTGTCAGTTGAGATGTTTATGGTTCAACCTGGTAATTTTTGGAGTAGGCAATTAATTGTATTCTATTTGAATTCTAATTCCTCAATACTATTCGAGATTTTTCCTAAATTCAAACTATATGTGGTTTTTTTTTTTAATAGTTTGTAGAACTTGTATTATCAGTTGTAATAATACTAATAGTAGAGCTGGAGAGATGGCTCAGTGGTTAAGAGCACTCATTGGTTATGCTTCCAGAGTACCCAAGTTCAATTCCCAGCACCCACATGTCAGTTCACAACTGTCTAATTCCAGTTCTTCGGAATCCAACACCCTCACACAGACATACATGCAGACAAAAAAACCCAATGCACATAAAATTAATCATTTTAAAATATAGAATACTACTGGTATATGTATTTTACACCAACTTATACATCAGAATATTCTAACAACAGTAAGGATTTCTTAGTGAAAAGGAAAATATAACCTAATCGATTGGTTTATTATGAATTATTGCATTATTCTGTCACAGTTTGTTTTGAGATCTTTGACTCTTATTGTGATGATTTTTTTTTTTTAATAATTTCAGTGGAGCAAGAAATTCCCATAGAGCCTCCGAGTGCAACCACGACCACTACAATTGGAATCTCTGCTACGTCTGCCACGTTCACAAATGTATTTGGGAAAAAAAGAGCCAATGTAGTGACAACCCCCAGCACCAATCGGAAAAATAAGAAAAATAAGACAAAAGAGTCCCCTCCCACAGCACATTTAATTTTACCTGAACCCCATATATCTTTAGCACAACAAAAAGCAGATAAAAATAAAATAAATGGAGAACCTAGAGGTGGTGGTACAGGCGGGAATAGTGATTCAGATAACTTAGATAGCACAGACTGCAACAGTGAGAGCAGTAGTGGTGGTAAAAGCCAAGAGTTAAATTTCACTGTGGATGTGAATTCCACCAGTGACAGAAGGGGCCCCACAGTTCTCAATTCTCAAGAAGAAAAGACAATTACTGCCACTTCCAAGACTCAGACATGGTAAATTTTTCTATTTTGTTAACTCAATATTCACTGCTTTTATTTCATGCCTGGCATAAAATTTCACAGTATGTCATCTATGTACAAGTTGTATTAAAGTATCTACAATATTATCTTCTTGTCTCTAGTCTTCAAAACTAAAATCATCTCTGTCCTCTTAATCATGTGTTCATTGTAAAGATTAGTAGATATTTTATAAGATTCTTAGTCTGAAGTTTAAAAAATTATTTCATTACAATTTTGTCTATGTAGTCTCTTGAATGTCTATCTTAAATATATCTTTTGTTGAATTCCGTAATTCCCTTTTCTCAGCCTTGAAGGTGAAGTGAATTCTAATTCCTTGTCAGCAAGCTACAAGTCATTGCCATTAAGCTCTCCAACCATGAAACTGAATCTCACTAGTCCTAAAAGGGGTCAGAAAAGAGAAGAAGGGTGGAAAGAAGTTGTTAGAAGGTAAGTAGGATTAATCTCATCTGTTAGTTTATTTACTTTCTTGTTTGCCCCAGCCCCTCCCTACCCCTTACCCCACCCCACCTTCGCTTTCCAAGTAAGCCAACATAGTGGCTTTTTATTTTACTTTGTTTTTGTTTTTTGTATGAATCTGATGCAACCCATACTGACCTTAAATTTGATATACAGCCAGGGCTAACCTTAAATTCCTAACCCACCTGCCTCTGCTGCCCAAGTGATAGAATTACAGGTGTATACCAACACACCTGGCTTAAAATTCCCCATCTTTTATGACATGGTTACCTATTTTATAATTTGAATGTAACCATCATTGCAAACTCTAATACCATACTAAACTCAGAATATACCAAAACAAAATTAGAAACAATATATAAAATTTACATGCATATTTCAGACCTTTTAAAATTGCTAAATATGAACTATTTATTGTTTAAAGTTACAAGCTAGCATATATTATTCAGTGTATATTTTGTTTTGTTTTTGAAACAGAGTTTCACTATATAGCCCTGAATTTAGAAAGAGAAAGCATGTTAATTGCAGATTAGTTGACTTGTGTTATTTTGAGCAGATTTGAATGCTTAAATTATGAGTGAACTAAATAGGATTTTTGGTCTGTCTGCCTTCCCCTTCCTTCCTTCTTTCCTTCCTTCCTTCCTTCCTTCCTTCCTTCCCACACCAATCCCAATTCCTCCTCCCTCCTCTCCTCCCACTCCCCCAGTTTTCTTCCCCACCCCATCTTCAGAGGGTAAGGCCTCTCCTGGGAAGTCAGCTGAGTCTGTCCCATCACCTCGTTGATGTAAGACCAAGCCCCCTCTCCCCCCTTGTCTAGGTTGAGCAAGGTATCTCTCCATAGAGAATGGGCTCCACAAAGTCAGTTCATGCATTAGAGTTAGATCCTGGTTCCACTGCCAGTGGCCCCATATACTGCCCAAGCCACACCATTGTTGCCTGTATTCAGGGGGCCTAATTCTATGCAGGTTCCCCAGTTGTCAGTATGGTGAGTCAGTGATCTCCCACTAGCTCAGGTCAGTTGATTCTGGGGTTTCCTCATCATGGTCTTGACCCCTTTGTTCATTGTCTTTTGGGTGTGTGTGTGTGTGTTTTGGTTTTTTTGTTTGTTTGTTTGTTTGTTTTGTTTTGTTTTGAGAAAAAATCTTAATAAGTATCTCTGGCTATCCTGGAACTCACAGTAGACCAGACTAGCCTCATACTCAGAGATCCCCCTACTTCTGTCCCCCAAGTACTAGGGCTAAAGGCATGCACCACCATGTCCCACTTAGGATTTTTGTTTTAAATGGCAATTTAGTTTTTAATTTTCCTCAACTAAATTCAATACAATAATAGTTTCTAAAGTAAGAATTTAATTAAGGATCACGAATATTCTAAAAAAATTCCATCAATATACTTAAACATCTTAACTTTTTATTTCAATATTTATTATTTAAAGATGTTACATTTCATAAACTCATGGGCAGTCTTCATTTTATAGGTCAAAGAAATTATCTGTTCCAGCCTCAGTGGTGTCCAGAATAATGGGAAGAGGAGGATGTAACATTACAGCAATACAAGATGTTACTGGTGCCCATATTGATGTGGATAAACAAAAAGATAAGAATGGAGAGAGAATGATTACAATAAGGTAACTGTTATAAAGTGACAGATATATTACTAGTTTTGAATCAAAATTTTATAAGAAGCATACTTTTAGTAGATAGGAATTTTATTTGAGAGTTGGGATATAGCTCAATGGTAAATTTCTTGCTTAACATATATTAAGCCCTGGGGTCAACACCAGGTGGAAAAGTTGAATCGTAAGATTATCTAGGGAAAAAACAAAATGTATTGTTAAAAAAATTTCTGTTATAAAAAAGATTACCTAAGGTGTGTTGTTTTTCATATTGTTGGCCTTATTTCATTTGTTCTCCAGGGGTGGTACAGAATCAACAAGATACGCAGTTCAACTTATCAATGCACTTATTCAAGATCCTGCAAAGGAACTAGAAGACTTGATTCCTAAAAACCATATCAGGACACCTGCCAGCACCAAGTCCATTCATACAAACTTCTCACCTGGAGTAGGCACCGCAGCAACTTCCAGCAAGAATGCATTTCCCTTGGGTGCTCCAGCTCTTGTAACATCACAGGCAGCAACATTATCTACCTTCCAGCCCACTAATAAACTTAGCAAGAATGTGCCGACAAATGTGCGATCTCCTTTCCCAGTTTCTCTTCCCTTAGCTTACCCTCATCCTCATTTTGCTCTGCTGGCTGCTCAGACTATGCAACAGATTCGCCATCCTCGCTTACCCATGGCACAGTTTGGAGGAACCTTCTCACCCTCACCTAACACTTGGGGACCATTCCCAGTGAGACCTGTGAATCCTGGCAATACAAATAGTTCTCCAAAGCATAATAATACAGCCCGTCTACCTAACCAGAATGGACCTGTTTTACCATCAGAATCTCCTGGACTAGCTACTGCCAGTTGTCCTATCACTGTCTCTTCTGTGGTTGCTGCCAGTCAGCAGCTATGTATGACTAATACTCGGACTCCTTCATCAGTCAGAAAGCAGTTGTTTGCTTGTGTGCCTAAGACCAGCCCTCCAGCAACAGTGATTTCCTCTGTGACAAGCACTAGTAGTTCCTTGCCTTCTGTCTCCTCCACATCTACCACTAGTGGACAAGTTACCACCACATTTATACCTGCAACTACTCCTCAAGTACAACTTTCTTCACAAAAGATAGAGTCTTTCTCTGCCATACCACCTCCCAAAGAGAAAGTGTCTACACAGGACCAGCCTTTGACAAACCTATGTACACCAACTGCAAACAGTTGTAATAGCTCTGCCAGCAACACCTCAGGAGCTCCAGAAACTCACCCATCCGGTAGTCCTTCTCCTCCCTCCAATAATACACAAGAGGAAGGACAGCCACCCAGTGTGTCTGATTTAAATCCTATGTCAATGCCTTTTGCCTCTAACTCAGAACCGGCTCCATTGACTTTGGCATCACCTAGATTGACCACTGCTGATAATCAGGACACTGGTAATTTACCTCAGTTAACTGTACCAACACCTCGAGTTTCTCATCGAATGCAGCCCAGAGGTTCTTTTTACTCAGTGCTACCAAATGCAACTATACACCAAGATCCCCAATCAATTTTTGTTACCAATCCTGTTCCTTTAACACCACCTCAAGGCCCACCAGCTGCAGTGCAGCTTTCATCAGCTGTGAATATTATGAATGGTTCTCAGATGCACATAAACCCAGCAAATAAGTCTTTGCAACCTCCATTTGGCCCAGCCACACTCTTTAATCACTTCAGTAGTCTTTTTGATAGCAGCCAGGTGTCAGCTAACCAAGGGTGGGGAGATGGCCCACTGCCCTCAAGAGTTGCTGCAGATGCCTCTTTCACTGTTCAGTCAGCTTTCCTGAGTAACTCTGTACTTGGACACTTGGAAAATGTGCACCCTGACAACTCTAAGGCACCTGGCTTCAGACCACCTTCCCAGAGAGTTTCTACCAGTCCAGTTGGTAAGTCATTAAGTATTGTAGTTACTTAATATATGGGGCTGTTATAACTCACCTTCTAAGCTAATACGTACTTATTTTGCACCTAATATTGCATAACCTTAAAGAAATGCTTTAAAGCGGCCATTTATTGTATGTAAATCACATAAAATAAGCTATTTCATTCTTTTGTATTTCTGTACCTAACAGTAAGGAGATTATACCTTGTATTGGTTCAGTCTTTTGGAAGTTGATGTCCATTATATTAATAAAAAGGATCCATAGCATACCTCAAGGATTCCAAATTTATAGATTTTTTTAAAATCATAATGATTATTTGTTTTTCTGATTGAAAACATTAGAACTGCACATTGCTCCATCATTCATATTACTTTATATTACACTAATGTGCTTAGTATCTTTTACATCATTAGGTGCAGCTATGGAAGAGATTCTGGTCATGTGCTAACTCAATAGATTTTTTTTTTTTTTTTTTTTTTTTTTTGTTGGAGACAAGGTCTTCTTCTCTAGCCACACTGGCCTTAAATTCATAGCAGTGTTCCTATATCACCAGAGTGCTGGGATCATAGGCATGAACCACTGTCTGGCTTTGACTTCTTGACTTAGAAATTAGATGCTGCTGTGGTGGAGAAGGGGCTCTCAGAGCTCCTGCTGCTCTCTATTGGCAGCCAACAGATTCTAAGAGAGGGGTAGGCATAGCATCCAGTTGTATACCCACTGGTGAACCCACCGGGCTCAGATAGTTCCAAACTCAGGGTCACGCAAATGGCCCTAGTAAAATTTTGTAGGACATTAAATAAAACCCAATGAATATGTATAGAAGATTTGTATAGAAGATGTGGGGTTGGTTGGGTTAGGAGTGAAATAAGTGATTGTCAAAGGGAGTGTAATCATGCATTTGATACTTGTATGAAATTGTCAAAGGAAAAAATAACTATTAGCTACTGATACAATAAAAAAAATATGTAGATGGATTGGCAGCCAGTTTTGACTTGGAGATATTTGAAAGAGGAAATCTATTTCACAGAGAATAAGAACAAAATTTCAGTTCAGTCTGTACTATACTGAAAAATGAGAAATTTTTAATGTCTGAAATTATTTCAAAACTTAAGGTAAAAAAAAAATAACATCGTTTGAGAATTAGGTTTAGTAGCATACACCTGTAATTGCAACACTTAGGAAGTGAGATAGTAGAATCACAAGTTCTAGGCCAACCTGAACTACATATCAAGATCCTGTCTCAAATGAAAATGTGGGTACTAGAGAGAGCAGTTAAGAGCACTACTAGCTGCTCTTACAGAGAACCCAGGATTCAGTTCCTACCACCCACAATAGCTCACAATTATCTATAACTCCAGTCCCAGAGGATCTGGCACCCCTTTCTGGCCTCCATAGGTACCAGGCATGTATATGGTGCACGGACATACACGCAGACAGAACACCCATACACATAAATAAATAAAATTAATTTTTAAAAATGAAATAAAAGTCTGGTGACCCACAGTAGTGATAAGGAACATGCAAGCAAGGCAAAACATCAGATACATAAAAACAAAACGGGCTGGAGAAATGACTCAGCGGTTAAGAGCACTGGACTGAGCTCCCAAAGTCCCAATGAGGAACAGAAGGAGGGAGAACATGAGCAAAGAAGTCAGGACCACAAGGGGTGCACCCACCCACGGAGACAGTGGGGCTGATCTTTTTGGAGCTCACCAAGACCAGCTGGACTGTGACTGAAAAAGCATGGGATAAAACCTGACTCTCTGAATATGGCGAACAATGAGGGCTGATGAGAAGCCAAGGACAATGGCACTGGGTTTTGATCCTACTTAATGTGCTGGCTTTGTGGGAGCCTAGCCAGTTTGGATGTTCTCCTTCCTAGACCAGGATGGAGTGGGGAGGACTTTGGACTTTCCACAGGGCAGGGAACCCTGACTGCTCTTCAGACTGGAGAGGGAGGGGGAGAGGAGTAGGGGGAGGGGGAGGGAGTGGGAGGCTGGAAGGAGGCAGGAATTTTTTTTTCTCAATAAAAAAAAATGGAAAACACAATTACAATAGAGAAAAAAATTAATATTTCCAAACAAAAAAAAAAAAGAGTACTGACTGCTCTTCCAGAGGACCCAGGTTCAATTCCCAGTACTCACACGACAGCTCACAACTATCTATAATTCCACGCTCTGACACCCTCACACAGCCATACATGGCAGGCAAAAAAAAAATGCACATAAAATAAAAATGAATAAATTATTTTTAAGAAAATAAAGCCAGGCAGTGGTGCATGCCTTTAATTCCAGCACTTTGTAGGCAGAGGCCCGCAGGTGGATCACTGTGAGTTCAAGGCCAGTCTGGTCTACAAGAGCTAGTTCCAGGACAGGCTTCAAAGCTACAGAGAAACCCTGTCTCGAAAAACCAGTAGTAGTAGTAGTAGTAATAATAATAATAAATAAAATAAAACTCTTGGGAGTTGGAGAGAGTCAGCTGTTAAGAGCAATAGCTCCTCTTCCAGATCTGAATTCAGTTTCCAGCACCCACATCATGTGCGTCACAGCTGCCTGTAACTCCAGCTCCATGAGATCTGAAGCCCTCTTTTGGATTCGTGTGCACATACACAAATACACACAAACACATAATGAAAAAAGTATTGGAAGGAAACACTACTGCCACTTAACATTCTGTTCTAATTGGGAAACTGCTCTTTAGTCCATGGTGCCCTTTTGATAGTTGTACACTACTAGCTTATGTTGTTCTGGATATGTTGTAGCCTTAACTTTTATTTCAGATATGATTAGATTTACTTGTCTTTTCAGAGAAACATTGCTGTTATTTTTCAAATATATCTATAACCTTGCAAAACTATTATCCAAACTATCATGTACATATTTCTTTTTTCCTTTCTTTTCTTCGTACCTTCTTTCCTTTCTTTTTTTTATATTTATTTATTATGTATACAACAATTATCAACATAAAAAGTTATCAAAAATTATCTTAAAAAGATACTAATAAAGAATTGATTTCCCCATCATTAAGGAAAATGGCTTTGGTATATAATACACAAATCCATTTAAAAAGCATAAGAAGAGCGATAGAGAAATAGCTCAGTTGGTAAAGCACATGCTGTATAAACAAAAGGACCTGAATTTGATCCCAGCAGTCTGGAGGCAGAGGCAGGTATATCTCTGTGAGTTCGAGGCCAGCCTGGTCTGCAGAGCCAGGACAGCCTGGGCTAAACAAAAACTCTGTCCTGGAATATATAAGTCAATAAATAACTTAAAGACAAAAATTCCTTGTTCTGGACTGGAAATTAGTACCTACCTATAATCTTTTTCTAGAAGTTTGTCTCATTTCCCTAATACACTCACTAGAGAAACCAGTGAAATTTAAAGAAAGTACTAAATTTAAATTTATACAAACTAATAGAAGCTATTATATAATTTGCAGTTTTTGTTTATGAGAATACTAAAATTAATACTTTATTGGGTTTTTTTTCTTTGTGAATAAAGAAACATTAGTAAATTTTGTTGTTCATCTTCATTGGAAATTACTATAGCTTTATAAGTAACTAGCTTTACTTAAAAGAGTTTCCTCAAAAGAGAATGCATACATTATTGGTCAAGTACCACTTAGATATACACAAAATGATGTTATTTCATGTCCCATTCAGTAACAAAAGCTTGAAGATATATTTAGAACATTACTTCAGATGAACTTCTACTTTGAAACACTGAGTTCACTTTCATTTAGTTAGAGATACTGGGTGATATTCTTCTGATTATAAAAGATTGGGTTTGGCAATATAGTGTCATATATGTGAGTTCATTTTTCTTTAATTTATGAAAAATATGCCATATGCTTCTTTATCTTAAAAAAAATTAAGTAAACCTTCAGCTTTCCATTCTAAAGTCTCAGCTAATTGGATATCTTGAACCTGTTTTATTTCAGGGTTGCCATCCATTGACCCATCAGGCAGCTCCCCGTCTGCTGCTGCTCCTCTGACAAGTTTTTCTGGCATACCAGGGACAAGGGTTTTCCTCCAAGGGCCAGCACCTGTCGGGACTCCGAGTTTCAACAGACAACACTTTTCTCCCCATCCTTGGACAAGCGCCTCAAACACATGTAGGAATCCTAGCGAAACTCTTCGCAAAAAAATCTTGAATAAGCTATTAAGCCATTTGATTATGGGTACATTATGTACTGGTTTTAGTAAAATAAGAAATATGCAGCTACCTGAGGTTTGTATGTGATCAAACTAAAATGTTTCCTCTGGGTCTTTGGATCAAGAATCCATGATACACATAGTAGTTTACAAAAGGCCCCTGTGAAGGACAGCAGGGTTGTGAAATTACTCTGAAAAGAAACTAATTATAGGTGATCCTTCTGACATAGTTTCACACTTATTTTTGCATTTTGGGGTTGTATTTATTACCTTTTATAGATGTACCTTTATTTTTACTTATTTCAATATTTAGAGCATGTGAATTATTTGGTCTCACATAATATATGATATTTTCCCCCACTGCCTTGTTCTGGAAATTGAGCTCTGGCCCTTGCACATAACTAGGCAAGTTATTTACCACTAAGCAACAGCTCTTTTTTTTTTTTAACATAGTCCATATTACCTTTTTATTTTCTTTATTTTTTTGAGACAAGATTTCTCTATGTAACCCTGGCTGTCCTTGAATTTAGTATTTAGATCAGACTCACCTCAAACTCACAAAGATCTGCCTGCCTCTGTCTCCCGAGTGTTGGAATTTAAGGTGTGCACCACAACACCTGATCTGCATTAGTCTTTGTGACAAAGAAAACTACACATATTACAAGTTCACTGAAGAATCAAAGTTATCACTTAAATTCTAGAATGATTTTAACATTTAACTTCTCTTCCTATAGAAAAAGACGGCTATAGAAATGGGAGAAAATTAGCTGGGCAGTGGTGGTGCACGCCTTTAATCCCAGCACTCAGGAGGCAGAGGTAGGCAGATCTCTGTGAGGCCAGTCTGGTGTACAAGAGCTAGTTCCGGGACAGGCTCCAAAGCTATGGAGAAACCCTGTCTCGGAAAACCAAAAGAAAAAAAAGAAAGAAAGAAATGGGAGAGAATTAACAAATACATGAAATACATAGCCTTAGTAAATGTAGGATATAATTATGTTTTCAGAGGATTATTTAGTATAATGATAAATTCTTTTCTAGCTTTGTCCAGTTCAGTTGGAAAAAGCCTTACAAGCTTCAGGCAGAAGTATTCTAAACAGTGGTTATAAAAATATTTTCACTTGAATTATCGTTTTAAATGAACTTTTCTTTACAGAACGTATGTTGTTGGAATATATCTTTACAAGGTTTCTCATATTTCTTTAGTTTTTATATGTAATAAAACAATAGAGAAATATTTTGCCACCAGGTGACTCTCCTATTCCATCTGTTTCTTCGGGATCATCTTCACCTCTTTCAGCCACTTCTGCACCACCAACTCTGGGCCAACAATCAAAAGGAAATAGTGCCAGTCAGGATCGAAAGATACCTCCTCCTATTGGAACAGAGAGGCTGGCCAGGATTCGGCAAGGAGGATCTGTTGCACAAGCTCCCGTAGGGACCAGTTTTGTTGCTCCTGTTGGACACAGTGGGATCTGGTCATTTGGTGTCAATGCTATGTCAGGTACCTTTCTCTCTTTCTGCCAAGACATTCTGAATATTATAAGAGTTTGTCATTAAAACTTAATTCCTAGTGATAGGGGAAGAGGGGCTAGAGAGAGGACTCTGATAAAGAGCACTTGTTGCTCTAGCAGAGGACCTAGGTTCAGTTCTAAGCATCCAAATGGCAGCTCATAGCTGCCTGTAACGTAATTCCAAGGCATCTGATACCTCTTCAGACCTTTGTGGGCTCCTGCATGTAGGTAGTACACACACATACATGCATGCACATAGACACATAAAATTAAATAATTTTCCCCCAAAATTGAATTCCTCAAAGATTTCTATATTGGTACACACATACTAACACTTCAGAGCCTTAGGAGGATCACCAATCTCAGATCACCATGAGTTACACAGGGAGTTCAGGGTCCAGTCTGAGCTCTTGCACAGTGGGGCCTTCTCTCACAGACCAGTGAGTGTTGATACAGCCCTAAAGTAGAGCGCTAACCTTGCACAGAAAGCCGTGGGTTGGCTCTCTGATAATGCACAGAGCAAAAAGTTTTTGTTTTTCATGCACACACAGACACAGCAGACCGAAGTGTAAAAGAAAAAAAATCCTTAGTTTCTATACTTAACATTCAGTGAAAGAAAGGGATTTATAGCTATGAGGGATTCATTTCTATCCTAATCTAGAATGTTATTTGAGATGATACATAGAATTGATCAGAAGTAAAAGTTTCAGCTGGACCTGGTGGTTCAAGAGGCTGAGGCAAGAATATTGACGTGAGTTCCAGCCTAGCCTAAACTACTAGACTAGGTTCCTTTCTCAAAAGAAATATGACCCAAAGCATAATTGCTTTCTGTCTTAAGGCTTCCAGTGCAGAATAGTTTGAGTTCTTTCACATCAGGAGTTGGGGAGTATGCAGAGGCATTTACCTGGTTTTCTAGGAACTTGATTTTTTTTTTATTTGATTGATTAGTTATGGCTTGCCAGGGTGTGGTAAATGTTGCAAGAACTCTTGAGAAGAATTATTTTGATATATAGGTGGATCTCTCTTTGAGTAGAGTCTACAGAGTGAGTTCCAGGACAGCCAGGACTGTTACTCAGAGAAACCCTGTCTCATAAAATAAGAAGTAACAAAGTGGTAGTATTTTATTGTTTTATCTAAGCCAATACTAAACATTATTTTTAATTCTTTTTTTCCAGAAGGCTTATCAGGTTGGTCACAGTCTATGATAGGGAACCATCCAATGCATCAACAATTGTCAGACCCAAGCACATTCTCCCAGCATCAGCCAATGGAGAGAGATGATTCTGGAATGGTAGCTCCCTCTAACATTTTTCACCAGCCTATGGTAAGTGGCTTTGAGGGCTTTTCTACAGTGAGTTAACATGCATCATTGTAATTTTGATATGTTGCCAGCCATTGTAGTCACTGGTTAAGGAATAGTTTATGAGGAAATTACCCTTTTGCTTCTGTGACTGTCAGATCTATTGTTCAGTTTTAAGAGTGGGTACTCTTGTCTTACAGTCCTTCTAAAACACTGAGAGATATGAGTTCTGCTTTGTTTTCTGGGCCACACATTTGAGAGAGGTGTTTATCCCCTAAAGAACTGGCTATTGGGGCTGGAGAGGTGGCTCAGAGGTTAAGAGCACTGATTACTCTTCCAGAGGTCCGGAGTTCAATTCCCAGCGACCACATGGTGGCTCAGAACCATCTGTAATGAGATCTGCTGCCCTCTTTTGGTGTGCAGGCAAACATGCAGACAAAACACTGTATATACATAATAAATTTAAAAAAAAAGAACTGGCTATTGGATTCATTGTTCTTTTGTGCATTTACAGTTTCTTGGGTTCCATATAGCCAGATTATAGCTGTAAATGCTCATACAGAATTATACTTATCTTTTTTTTTTTTTTTTTTTTTTTGAGATAGGGTCACACCATGTGATCCTGACTGGCCTGGAACTCATTTTGTAGACCAGGCTCTCCTCAACTCACAGAGATCCACCTGTCTTTGCTTAGGATTAATTTAAAGGCATGTGCCGGGCGGTGGTGGCGCACGCCTTTAATCCCAGCACTTGGGAGGCAGAGGCAGGCGGATCTCTGTGAGTTCGAGGCCAGCCTGGTCTACAAGAGCTAGTTCCAGGACAGGAACCAAAAGCTACAGAGAAACCCTGTCTTGAAAATCCAAAAAAACTTTAAAGGCATGCACCTCCATACCCAACTACTCTTTTCTTATACGTAAAACTGTACTAAGCAAATTGAGTATATTATATTTTCATCCAGTGTGGGGAAGTTCCTAATAATTTCAAATTGGATTAGTTTTGGTTTTGTTTTGTTTTATTTTTCTCCTCTCTTACTGAAAAATATTGCAAATGCAGATGAAACACTTGATTTCTCAATACTGTGCCACGATATACTAATAGAATCCTCTGAAGTTATTTTAATAAAGAATTATAAAGAGGTCTCAGCTGGTATTAATGGAATCATTATCTGTCATTTCATAATTAAGGCTTCTTTCTCTGCTATTTTAGGGTCTGCCGATTTCCATGTATGGAGGCACCATTATATCCTCTCATCCTCAGCTTGCTGATGTTCCAGGGGGCCCACTGTTCAACGGACTTCACAACTCAGATCCTGCTTGGAACCCTATGATAAAAGTTATCCAGAATTCAACTGAATGCACTGATGCTCAGCAGGTAAAACAGGCTTAAAATCTCTTCTACTTTTCAGATTTGTCATGTGACTCTGAATTTGATGGGAAATGTAAGGTCTGAGTAATGACTATTAATCTGGATTAAGTTTTTCATTATCAAAATGATGATTCTAAACATTCTATTTCTTATATGTGTGTTCTTCCTAGGCAGAAACAGTGCATTGCCATTGAATTTATATATTCATTTCACAAATATGTAAAGATTCCTAATTGGAAATTCCAATTTTTCCTCCCCCTTTTCAGATTTGGCCTGGCACGTGGGCACCTCATATTGGAAACATGCATCTCAAATATGTCAACTAAGTTAGAAGGTCTTTACTCTTTAGCCTTGTTTGGGAAACCTATGACTTTGGAAGGACTCTGGGGTTTTTAATTTTGTTTTTTGGGTTTTTTTTTTTTTAATGTGCCTAACTAAAATATTCTGAGGCTTTAGCAATGGAAATTTGATTGCCCATTGTGTAAGAACAAATTGATTTCCTATCCCACCTGAGTATGTTCTCTGGTTAGTTTAGCCATTTTTGACTTGAGATAAGATGAACCTAGTGCTTTTGGCTAAACATACTGAATGCTACTTGTATGCAGAAGAGAATTAGATGATTACATGTTTCAACTTTTTAGGGTGGTAAATACATGTATAATTGTTTACATACTTTAAAAAATATGAGTAAATTTCTTGTCATATAGTGGCTCTACTTAATGTAGCCTGTATTAATGTGAAATATTTACCAGAATATTCAATAAAAAAAAATGAACAGTGTTTAGAAGTGGGGTGTGATCCTTTCAGTGGTCATGAAGATTCCAGCCAATCTACAGTCATATTAAATTAGATTGCTAATGTTGTATTTATTTGTATCATGCTTTTCACATTTAACACTGTAGAGTCCATTCTTAAACAGCCATGAAAAGCACTGTTAAAACTTATTAGCTACTTCTTGTTCTTCTGTCTCCCACCTTATTAAAGATGAGGGTTTTTAAGCCTTTACAGTTTGTGTTAGCTGACATTAGCAAATAGGCCACTTGATAGGTTTTGCTCTTTATGGATCATGACTACTAAGGCTTTCCATTGAACAGATTTAGGGATACCCAAATCATCCACTTTGGGTTCCTTTGTGCTTCTTGATTTTTGAATTGGAACATAAGAAGTGGAAGAGTTAATCAGTTATACTGATGAATAACTGAGTAATATTTATAAATCAGTGACTAATGCTGTGTTTAGTCCCATGGACTCAAAAATGAAAAGCCAATATGCTAAACAAATCAATCACAAAAACACTAAACTAAGTTGGCTAAACCATACACTGTGTACAATGGAGAAGGAAATTCTCCTACTAAAACGTATCATCAGTTGTGGGTTTTTTGTTTGCTTGTTTGGTTGGTTTTGGTTTTTTGAGACTGGGTTTCTCTTGTAGCTTTGGAGCCTGTCCTGGAACTTGCTCTGTAGACTGTGCTGGCCTCGAACTCACAGAGATCTACCTGCCTCTGCCTCCCAAGTGCTGGGATTAAAGGTGTGCGCCGCCACCACCTGGCTCAGTTGTATTTTAATGTAGTTCAATATCCCAGCATTATAAACAGTATTTAAAAGAAAACATTTTGGTGACTGAGAAAAAACAAAAAGAGAATGCACACACAAACACACACAAGCAACAACCAAGAGCAGAGAATCATGCAAGCATGATTCTTACTCTAAAAGCAATTAAGAATTCTTAATAATCTTTGCCTGGGTTCTAAGCCATCACCCGGTCAGAAATATGCTATTAGTTCTATGTAAGATATAACTTAGTTCTTTGGTCTTCCACATCATTTTACACATGAGAAAGCTTCCTTAAGCGCATTTCTTATTTTCTATTTTTGATGAATTTGGAAAGTATTACTGGTGGGAAGTTTACTGACTTTATAGTGGTCATATAAAATCTTCTCGAGGCCATCTCGCTCTAGGGCAGAACAGTCCTTTAGATTGCCTACATATCTTGTTCTTTCCTCTTACCGATAACAGAAACAATCACTTAAAATTAGTGAAATGAATGAAGCTGCTCTTGATGAAATAGAGAAAGGTAACCTTAAGTAAATTACTCAGTAGAACAAAAAAGTGAGTTTTATTCTACATTAATTTTTTGTAAAGTATTTGAATGATCTAGGGATCCTTAAATCTATTTCTAAACCTTGAATACAACAGAAGAAATTCTGTCTCAGGTCAGAAACTAGAACCCATAAAGAGAAAGGAAGGAGAAAATCCCCCTAGAGAATTAGGAAGAAAGAAGAAGTGTGCAGGAGGAGCCCTGGGAGACCTCCTCCCTTCCCTTTTGTCAACATCACCCTCCTTTCTATTTGAATCTTGGTAACCTAATCCCAGCCCTATTTTACTTGCTATAATCTCTTCTTCCTCTTCCTGCCTCTTCCTGACATTACTTTACTGCTATTTTACCAACTTGAACATTGGATAAAACCTAGCTCAGGTAAGAACTTGATTATTTTCAAAACATACAAGGGATGGAGGGAGGCAGTATGGGTACAGTGGAATGAGAGTCAAAGGTCTAAGTCCTTTTTTCATTTCTGTCATTTACAACTCTGTGACTTTAGGCAAGTTATCTCATTTTTCTGGGCCTCACAATCCCCATCTGAACATGAAATCAATCTTAAATTAACCCAAAGGAGTCTTGTGGTTATAACACAGATTTTCTTCTTTTTCTTGTCAATGAAAATGTATGGATTTGGGAATACTGGAAAAAATGTTTACAGTTCTGAGGTTTGGTTCTGATCACTGGAATCAAAAGCCTTCTATTCTGGAGACCAGTATTGATTTGGAAATTAGTGGAAACAGAAGAAAATGTTACACATTCATAGTGAGCCCTTAAGTTTTAAAGAAATATCCTGCGAAGTAAGGCACATGTCAAATCCCATGAGAATAAAAGCTCTTCAAAGAATAAAACTGTATCTTCAAGGTTTCTGGATTCACTTCTTTCAAGTAGTGTTCAGTGTAATAAAATTATTGATGTTTTAGAATCCTTTAAAACTGTTGTGGCTACAGTGTGCTGACTTGCCCTTTTATAGGCCAGTGTGCTTTCTTCAGTCTCTGCTCTCAAGGGGGAAATTCCATCACCTCAGCTAACCAGACCAAAGAAGAGAGTTGGACAGCCAATGGTGACCTCTTCTAACCAGAGGTAAGAAATCTCAAGCCTTATGGTTTCTGTTCCTCCTCCCAACTGGAACACTACTACACAAGAGGTCTGTCCTTGGTTTGAGTTGGCTTGTAGAAGCAGGAGAACAAGCATGAGTTCAAGCTAATCAGAGTCCAGCATGGTGTGCACCCCTGGACACCCAGCACTTACAAAGTAGAGGTAGGGGATCAGGATTTTAATGCAAGCCTCAGCTCCATGAAACGCTTATCTCAACACCACTTATACCTCCCCGACAAAAGGCCCAAAGGTTGAACTTCATACCTGATTCTTTCCTAGTGTTGAAGACCTTTGGACCACATTGTAAACTGAGAAGAGACAAACAAACCTGTAGAAAAACAGCTTCAGAACATCTTGTTCTGTGACTAGCAAGAAGTACTTGTACCAAACAATACAGCTGGTCATATCTTCCTAGAGGAGCCTGTCCTGGGGTGAGGACTGTGATGATGTTGCATTTTCCATTTACCCACAGTGATCTGGCAACTGACCACAGGCTAGATCTTTCACGTTCACTCTCTACTTTAGGAAATGAATGTGCAAATTCAAGTGTGTTAATACCACATCCCATAAAGGTCATAAAGCCCAGCATAGTGGCCTGTGCCTGAAAGTTCCTCCTAAGGTAGAAGGATCACTTGAGCCGAGGAGCTCAATACCAATCTGAACAAAATAAGAAATCCTTCATATCAAAATAATAATAGCAGACATGAGCCTGGGCTTCAAGATATAAGAGGGCAAGATCATGAACATGTTAGCTGATTTCGAACCTGTCTGTGAGAACTTTTCACTTACATACGTGATCCACCTGCCTCTGCCTCCCCAATCCTGGGAGTAATGGTGTGTGCCACCAAATCCAACTTGTTTCACTTTATTTTGGTGGTACTGCTGGGAATTCAAAGCTGTTTACTTAAGTGGCAGAGACCTGGCATTTGCCTTATAGGTTTAATTGTATCTCTGGTAGTTAATCCTAGGCATAGTTTTTGGTTTGATATTTTGATTGGTTGTTTTTGTTTCTGAATCAAATAGTAATTAATGTTAAACCTGTGATGTAAACTTCTGATGCTTTATCCAGGTTATGCAGTTGTATGGGTGTGGAGTCTGGCTTTTTTTTATAGTTTTCTAGCCCTGCCAGCCCATTGTATGTTATAGGAATAACACTGGCTGCTGTTTTATAGTAGAGATTCAAAGAAGGAAGACATCACTTCACATGCACCTTTCTCAAAAAACTCTAGAATTTGTTTGGGTTTCATTTTCATTTTGACGATGCTAGGGACCAAACCCAGGACCTCAGGCATGCTACATAAGCACTCTACCAGCTGGGCTATATCTTTAGCCTCTATAATTTTTATGTTGCCTCACTATGTAGACCAGGGTGGCCTCAAACTTGAAGATCTGCCTGCTTCTGCCTTCCCAGTACTGGGACTAAAAGAATGTGCTACCACATATAGCCTGCCCCTTTAGTTCTACTTGTTTTTTCTCAGTTTGTTTTGGTGAATCACTTAAATTAAATATTACTATGTAGACCTCTTCTTGCACTACACCTTCTCAGATTATAGCTTCCCATACTCTTGTGTTTCATTTCTGAATAAGTAGGCAGTCCCCCGCCCCCAGACCAGTTGTTACAGCTCCTTATAGTGCTCTCTGTCTTGTTACTCTGCACACAGTATTCATTACTTAATATAAGCTATGCCCCTGTTTGTTTCCCCTTTTGTAGTTCCAGCTACCCAAGATTCTCAAAGCAGGAGATTGGGAGTTACCCTAGCTTACCTCCATTTTCCTCAGCCTGCCCTTGATCAGATCACTTCACCTTCCACCTTTAAATTTTTATTACAATTATTGGGGAGAGGGGCATACACATGTCATTGTGCCTATGAAGAGGTTAGAGGACTGCTTGCAGGAATTGGTTCTTTTCTTCCATTTCATGAGGTTGGAGCTTAGATCATCAGGCTTGGCTGTTAGTGCCGTAATCTGATGAGCCATTTCACTGGCCCATACTTTGTTGTTCTGTATATCTGAATTTCCTCCATTTCTGTCTCCATTGCCACTGCCCAATGGATTCATTTTCAGAATCACCATCCTCTCTACTCCATGCCCCTACTCTTAACCATTAGGCTATTTTCTCACTTTGTTTAAAAGTTGAAATTGTCGAGACAGTTACCCAGTCTGCTGAGGCATGTACCACTTTGTAAGAGACTCCAATACCTTTTGGGGAACAATAAAATATATATACACCTGCTACCTGGAATGTGATTTTGAAAACCTGCAGCTTCTGCATTAACAGGAATTGTCTGTCATATCAAGCTCAGCCAGGCTTGGTGGTGCATGCCTTTAAGCAACGGTCAGAGGTAACGGCAGGTAGATCTTTAAATCAAAAGCCAGCCTGATCTATGTACCAACTGCAGGCCAGCTAGATCCTGTCAGGCCAGTGAGATCCTGTCTTAAATAATAATAATAATAAAAACAATACTGTCCACTCTGTCAAACCTATCTTTGTTCCTTTCCAGAGAGCTAACAGGCTAAGCCTTCCTCACCAAGTCCATAGTTAGCTATGTCCAAAGGGCTGACCTCTGCACTCATGATGTGTTGGCTACAGCTTTCCCTGTTCCCATCCCCTAGTTTGCTGAACTTTGAGTAGACCTGGTGTCACATTCAAAAAGCCTATGATTTCCTGTTATGCTACAAGGCACTACAAAGCTGGGCTGAAGGATCCAAACTCTAGTCACTCAAGATCTGTGGGCATGTTTCCATCAAAAAGCTTGATTAATAAGTACATTACTGTCTGAAACTGTTGGAAGAAATGGGTACAACCGTACCTCCCGACATCCAGGAATAATTAGCAAATAAACTCTCAAGTCAGAGCAGATCCTGAGAGCTCCTAGGCAAGTGGGCGGAACCCTCAGGCTGAGTGACTGGCCAATGGCCCACCCCAGGTGTGACGTATCCTAGTGGTGTTGCCTGCTGCCACACGTGGTCAGCTGAGACTGCCTACACTTCAGACCTGTTTTCCCGTGCTTTCAAGGCACCCGCTGTTGCCTTCCTGCTGCTCGTTATGTCTGCCTCTAGAAGTTGCCCTATTCCAGGGTGTCGAGACCGGCTCTCAGATAGCTACAGCACCACGCCGGGAGGTACACTATGTGCCACCACCCCGGGAGGTCAGTGGGCAGGGCAGGGGTTTGTGCTCTGTGGGGCAGTGTCGGGGGTGGAGTGGGGTGGACCTTGGAATTGCTTCTGCAGGGTTCTCCAAGGTATAACGTAGAAGGAGAAAATAGTTTACCAAAAAAATAAATAAAGGCAGTGCTTTTTAAACTGCTTATAACAGTTCATGTTGTGGTGATTCCCCAGCCATACAATTGTTTTTATTGCTACTTAATAATTATAATTTTGGTACGGTTATGAATCATAATGTAAACATCTGCAGTTTCTGGTGGTCTTAGGCAACCCCTGTGAGGGGGTTGTGACCAGTAATAGGTTGAGAACCACTGCAATAGAAGGTGACCACAACAGAAAGCGAGTATTATGTAGTGAATGCAGCCCTGGGTCATGAGCTGCTGCACTGGCAAACGGGTTTCTGCCATGTGGAAACAGAAGGGAGCCGCAAGAATAGGGCAGGGCTCTTCCAGGACACTGTTGGCCATTTTCTCATGGGTGAGGCTAGCCCTAAGGGACTTAGGGGGTGAGGGGGCATGTTTTCCAAGGAATGCAACTCTCCTTTGCAAGAAGTGAGAACCCAGGAGGCTATGCTGGATGAAATTCTTAATGTTTCAGACCTTTTTGGTGAAAGGTTGGGCAGTTTGGCCCCACTATATATACCAAAGCAACAAGATCTATGAACTGTAGACTAACAAGCTAAAGTACCTGAGTTTTCAAGTGTGGTGTTCCCTCTCAAGACTACCGCCACTGTCGTAGCCCAGAGTACCTACAGACTAGCTAGATGTCCCAACTTGCCTTGATGTTGCTTAGACTGAACTTGGTTGGGCATGTCTTTTGTGGTGTGACCTGCCAGCTGAATCCTAGTTGGGCAGTAACGTGTTCAAGATCCTGGTTCTTAACTTCAGCTCTTATTCCTTCACAGGCACCAGGATCATCTACGACCGAAAGTTCCTGCTGGAGTGCAAGAATTCTCCCATTGCCCGGACACCTCCCTACTGCCTCCCTCAGATTCCCGGGGTCACAATTCCCCCAGTCCCACCCTCCAGGCTGGAGCTGCTGAAGGAACAGAAGCAGACAGAGGAAGAGACAACCGGTAAGTAGGACTAGCAATTAAATGCCTTTGTAAAGTAGAGTTGGGGCTCAATTCCAAGAGGGGTTCCTGTGCTAACTGGGCTTACAAACACTTAAGTGAGTAACTGTTCTCTTGACTTCTCTCCCTAGATGACGAACAATTTGAAATGGACATGTAATCCAGTGCAAGATGACCTGTGTGGAGTTACGGATCTCTCATGCCACTGTTGCCGCCACCTCTGCTAGGGTATTCAAGGGCAGCTGGCCTCATCTAGTCTGGAAGAGAGACTTGTTGATTCTGGGTTTCCTTTAGTTCTGAGGCAGCTGGACCAGGGATAGTAGTGGACACTTGCCAAGGCCTCAACTTTCTCTGGTTTATACATATTCCTCCCAAACCCTGGCCCTCAGAGCTGGCACTGGGGAACAGAATATGTCACCTTCTGGCTGCTTAGTAAACATTCAACGAAATGCCATGGCTCCAGTGTTCTCAGTGCTGAACTCTCAGCTATACAGCTGAGAGACCCAGCAGGCCCAAGTCTGTTCCCAGCTCTCAATGGCCCCCTTCTTGCAGCATTTAGGGCTTGAGGCAGGCTGTGAGAGAAAACTGCTAGAGTTGCTAGGTCATAAAGCACAACAGCTGAGCCTTTCCAGGAAGTGAGGGCCCCCAACCCCCATCCATTTGTAATGTGCACTCCTAGAAGAGATGCTGTTTCAGCTAACACCCACCTCAGTTTCTCCCCTGCCTTTTCTTCTGCTTCCTATCTCTTAAGTACCAATCAGTTCAATTCTGGAAACCTTGCATCTTTCTTCTCAGCATAATCACCAGTACATTTCTGGTCCCAGCTATTTCTTTTTTTAAAAAAAAAAGTGTTAGAAAAGATTGGGAGAAGGGTGCTGGAGAAATAGCTCAGCAGTTAAGAGCACTGGTTGCTCCTGAGTTCAAGTCCCAACAACCAAAAATATCTCACAACTTTCTATAATGGGATTTGATGCCCTCTTCTGTGTGTGAAGGCATATATGTGGACAGAGCACTCATATACATAAATAAATCTAAAAGACTAGCCTGGTGATGGTGGCACACACCTTTAATCCCAGCATTTTAGAGGCAGACAGAACTCTGAGTTCAAGGCCAGCCTGGTTTACAGAACAAGTTCCAGGTTATTGGTGGCTACACAGAGAAACCCTGTCTCAACAAAAACAAAAAGGACTAGGGCTTACACTGAAACAAAAATGAGGCAACACCTTGTTTGCCTCATTTAGTAAACCTTTGTTTGCCTCTGTTTAGTAAACCAGATAATCTTGACCTCAGATATCAGTAATCTAATCTTTGTTGTTGAAACAGAATCTCAACACAGCTTAAAGTGGATTCAAACTCAATACATAAGTGCAGGGTAACCTTGAACTCCTCTTCCTGCCTCTAGTCTCAAATATTAGGACCATAAGTGTGTGCTACTACACCCAAAAGAAATGCAGGCATCTGGTCTTTTTCTCCTTCAGTTTAAACAGCAGAAACAACCCCAATCACTGATTGTAAAAACAATACACCAAGAATACAGCAAAGGGCATGGTCTCTACTGACCAGAAAGTTTCTAGCTATTTGAGTCTATTCTTAGGCTGAAATGAAAATAGCCAACAACACTGTGCTATGTTACAAAAAAATGTGCTTTTCAGTCTAATTTTGAGAAAAGCAGGTAGCAATATGGCTATGCCCGGCAAGGCCCTTCTTGATGAATGGAACAAGGAATAGTATTCATGGAGCAGGGAAACTGACACCAGAAAGAACCAGTCTGGCATCAGAATGGCTCACCTTTCCTACCCACTTCCCACCATTGAGATTTTTATTGAAATATACATATTATGAGTAACAAGTTATCTTGCAAGTGGCCCAGGTAGGATCTTTGGTCAGGCCCAACACAATTGTCTCCCTGGTGGTAATGGGACCCAAGCGAGAAGAGGCCTTCCACACCGAGGCATAGATCATTTGAGTGAGTCTGGGGAGGCCCCAGGATTATGAAGACTGTTGGAAGCCTGGTACTGTCTGGTTCTCAGGTGCCATTGTAGATGTCTCTTCTTTGGCCTCCTCTGAAGACAGACTCCTCTTTTCTGCAATTAACCTTTTAACTCCCACCATCCACTGACTGACCTCAGTCACATGGTCAACCATGAGTGAGCGGTGAATGTCATCTGCTGCATCCCACTGGTGGTGTAAAAGTTCTGAGGAGAGACAGGGCTTGAGCAAGTAATATTGGCACTTGGAAGTAATATTCATGTTTTCCATTCCTTCCCTCCCAATAAGTAAAAACCTTTTCACCTGTCAGTTCAGCCATCAATGGGAGGATAAATGACCCCACCCATACCTTGCACTAGTAGTACCATCCTCTTCTTTACAGGTATTGACAACTTCCCTCCAGCCCACTGTTCCTGAAGCAGTGCCAAGCGTCGGCTGATATCGTCATGCACCTGTTTCTGAGACAGAAACCGATCCAACTCAGTGCTGCCATTATGTGAATTCTCTGGCTCAGGAGTTTGACTCTTGGTCATTTTAGAGTTCATATTCCTTTACCCAAAGGATAGAAGTCCCCCACTAAAAATAAAATGAAACCTATGGATCTCCTCCAAAGACAAAAGACAAACATGACAAGAATTTTAACTTTTCAGTGCCTCCTCAGCCCCTTAGAGACTCATCTTAAGGTTACTGTTCAAATAAGGAAAACATGGCCAAAGGTGGTACTACCACGCTGCATCCCCTTTCTTCAATCCTTTATCTCTAGAGGGCTGAAGAAACCTTCATACAAAGCTTCTCTTTCTCTCCCAGACAGCACAAAAACAACCGAGTACATTATGAATGGCCTCAAGTTACAAAAATAAATAGGTTTATTAACACTAATAGGAGTTAAATACAACTCATTCCCATAAAGCCTCTGTTGCTAGATGGTCCTTCAAAAGTCCTGAGAATCCCTCTGACATCGATGTCCATTTCCCTGGAAAATTTTGAGAGATTCCTTAAGGTCCCATCAGAAGTGCTGTTTTTAAGAACCATACTTCATTGGATAGAAGTCCTTTCCACTCCTGGAAGTACCAGGGCCTACCTTTGTGTAGCCACGGCAGTCCTCCAACACCTGTTCCAGAGGTCGCAGTACATCTTCCAGTGGAACCTCAGACTCAGTGACTGGGGAAGTTGGGGGTTCCACACCAGTAGCAGGACAAGTCCCCATAGGTGGAGGCCTTGAAGCCTTACTTGAAGGAGGTGGATGACCCACTGGAGGTGGTCCAGATGTTTCTGAAGTTGGGGCTGAAATGTTCAAACTGGATCAAGCAACAAGGCTTAGTACCCTCCAATGATCATTTTATTCCCATTTCTCTTTGTTCACAATGTTTAATCAACTATGAAATCTGAACACAGTTCTTCATCTCTTACCTCTTACTGCCCAATTTTATTGATTAAACCAAAGCATGTTGGGAACCAAGCTCAAATCCTCTAGACAGCAAGTACTCTTAACCACTGAGACATTTCTCCAGTCCCCCATATAATCGAACACTTTTCACTGACAGATTTTTAAAGGGTAAAGAAAACTGCATTTCTCTACTCTTCAAAAATAAACATTTTTGAAGGGGAAAGGGAAGGACGGGAGGGGAGTAGAGAAAAATGTATAGCTCAATAAAAAAAAAAAGTAAAACATTTTCGCAGGGTAGTGGTGGCACAAACTTTTAATTCCAGCATTCAGAATGCAGAGGAAGGCAGATCTCTGAGTTTGAGGCTAGTTTGGTTTACAGAGACAGCTCCAGGACTGGCTCCATAGCTACTGGGAAACCCTGTCTCAAGAAACCAAAAAAAATAAGCATTTTCACATCTGTAAACTTCACTTTCTGTAAATACTTCCTTTTCCTATTTCTGGCCATGCCTTATTTCACTGATAAAGCCATCAAGTGGGATTTTTTTTTTTTTTTTTTTTTTTTTTTTTTGCTGTTTGAGACAGGGTTACACTCTAGCACAGGCGGGCATCAAACTTGTGGCACTCCTCTTGCCTAGGCTTTCTGAATACTGAGACCAGAGACATACACCACCATGCCCAGTTCAGGAACTCTCCACTGGTCCTTTTAATCTACCCGTTGGGGCCACCTTCCTTCCGCAAAAAGTCCTTGCTCCTGTTGGAGTAAGTGGAGGGCATCTCTCCACTCGTACTTTGTAGTCCAGCCCTTCTTTAGGCTTCCCTCCTATGCCTATTTCTTTTCTCCATTATGATCACTTCTTGGCCTTTACTCTGTCATCCCATGATGAACGTACAGATGGACTTTACTGTTTGCTTTCAAAACCCCTTAAATTTCTTTTTCTTATCAAATATAGCATACCACCACCTGCAAACCTATCTTGCAACACTCCATTTTAAAAAAAAAAAAATCTTTTTTGAAGCACTCTACTTCAGTTTCTGAACCTGGCAAAGTTGTTCTCCTCTCAGAGAGTTTGCACTTACCTGTTTATTGTGCTTGAAATACTTTTGCACCTTTTAGTCACATTTCCGTGTTTACTTAAATAGCCCCCAGGACAGGTTACCTGGAAACGTGCTTCTCTGCAGAGTCCCCACCAAGACCTTTTAGCTTGTTCACTATGTTTTAGTTTGCACTCAAACTGTTCCTGGCTCTAGCTTGACAAGTACTCAGTAAATACTAATTAAGCAAATAAGTAAGTAATACAAAGTCTGAGAAGTTTATAACACAAAGATCATAGTAGGATCGTGGGAAGAGATCTGGGCAAGGAATATCTGAAAACAGTCTGAGTGAGCGTAGTCCTTTTGTCCAACATACCATTTACTGACCAGGGCAGCAGAAAAAACAGGCTCGAAAAGCGCCTGCGCTGAGCCTCTTACTGGCTCCCAAGCCCACTCCTCTCCCTTGGGAGAGGAAACAGGTCGATGGGACAGGTTTATCACGGACACCATCTTTCCGTACAGGATTCCGCCCACGGCCCTTACACACCTCTAGGGGATCCATCCTGCGGGGCCGCGACCCTCTTAGTAAGGGGCGTGCGTTTGGGTCCACCAGTCTGAGTCTGCAGCCCATAAGAGAACTGCGGAGGGTCGTTCCAGCCGCGTTCCTTGTTGCCTGCGAAGGCAAGGAAGTGTGTGAAAGGTGACCGGGCACCCAACGGAGGTTACTTTGGGGTCAGGGGGAGTCAGAGTTCGGGCCGAGTACCCACAGCCAGCCCACCCAGCTTGCTCACCCGGCTTCACGTAAAGCTCCGCCATCGCTACTTCCGCGCCGCCAGTGCCAGCGGGGCAGCGCGTCATTTCCGGGGCGGTAGCTTACTCACTCAGTCCAGCTAGTTGCCTGGTGGTATTTGAGGGGCTGCCTAGAGAGCAGGCACCAATTCCTTAAAAGACAACTGGCTGAGCCAGGCGGTGGCAGAGGCAGGCTGGCCTGGTCTACAAGAGCTAGTTTACTACAAGAGCTAGTTCCAGGACAGGCTCCAAAGCTACAGAGAAACGCTGTCTCGAAAAACCAAACAAAAAAAGATGATCTGGATGGAGACTTTGTCAAGGAGCACCAAACAGGTAGGTTTTTCTAACATCTCCTAGTTTGCTCTCAGGCGCAAATTCACCAGAAGTACCTGCTGGATCTAATCACATCAACCTCTGGAAGCTCGCTTATCAATAGACTGCCTGCACAATTTTTATTTTCTCTAGGCTCACTAAGAAGAACTTCTTCAATACACAAATATGTCGACTCTTCAGAAGTCTTCTGAAATGCCTTGGACAAGTCTCAGCTGAGCTCCCACAACCCTCTGGTAGTTCCTGGTATCTTCTGCTTACCTATTTGGTTGTTTCACCTCAGAAAGTCTCAGAAGGAATCCTAATAGGCCTACCTTAATATCTGGCACAGAAAATCTCGTAAATTGTTTGCTGAATGAATGCAGTCACATTTCCAATATGCACCATGCCCCGTGTGACTAAAGGCAGTCAACAACACCAAGCATACATACCCACCTCACACAAGCTGATGGTCCCCAACCTTATCCCACGTCTAATATACTCACAACTAGTGAGGTCACTGAGGGATTTTTATTTGCGCTGATTCTGCTATAAAGTTGCTGAGGTAGAGCCAATTGTCCAGGGTTGGACAGGGGCAAGGAACAAAAGGACCCAAGGAAAAGGGTGCCAGGGGCCTAAGTTATAGTGCAGGGCCTCTCAGTCATCCATATTAACAAGAAACTTGGTAATAAATAGAGGGTAGGCAAGGATCGGGGATAGGCAGGAAGGTGAGAGGCTACAGAACCCTGGGAACTGGAGGAGTGTAAAGCCTCCTTCCCCAACCCTCTAAGATCAGTTTAGGACATATGGAGAAGAGAAGGTTTTAGCCTGAAGGCATCAAGAAATGAGAAGACGCCCCGCTTTCGAGGAGCTGCCCCAGCACCACCAACCCCTCCTTTGAGTAGTGGGGGAGGCAAGGGGCCACCAGGGGAGTCCATGGAGCTGGTCCGCTTGAGCCGAAGGCGGGCACGGGCCTGGACACTCCAGGCCTTACCCCGAGCTGCTGAGGCCACCAGACACTTCTGGTATTGAACCTAGGAAGAAGGGGAGTATGTGAACATCCAGTTTTCTGCCCTTGGACACCTGAAAGCTTTTGTAAGGCAGGTAACTGGCCAAGAATTCTGTCCAGCATTCCCATGTAGCTCAAAAACAAAAACATAAAGCTCAACATTTACTGAGTACTTAAGGAAAGCTAGACACTATGTTACGTGCTTTGTGTGATAATTTAATTTAACCTAAGTTATTCATGAGGTGTTGCTTTACTCATCTTGCAAATGAAGATACCAAGGTTCAGAGATAAATGACTTGTCTAAGGCAGTGGTTCTCAACCTGTGGGGGATCACATACCAGATGTCCTGCATAACAGATTTTATTTACATTTAAAATAATATTTACATAACGATTCATAGCAGTAGCAAAATTAGTTATGAAGTAGCAACAAAATCACTTTATGGTTGGGGGGGTCACCACAACATGAGGAACTATATTAAAAGACTGTCGCATGAGGAAGATTGAGAACCACTGGTCTAGGGTCGCACAAACAGAAAATGTTATATCTGGCATTCAAATGTAAGTCTGTCAAGCTGCAAAGCTTGCATTTTTTTGTGCTTTTTTGGTTGGTTGATCTTGTTTTTTATGAGACATGGTTTCTCTGCAGCCTTGGCTATCCTGGAACTCACTCTGTAGACCAGGCTGGCCTCAAAACTCAGAGATTCACCTGCCTCTTGCCTCTTGAGTGCTGGGATTAAAAAGGCATGCAATACCAACTATCTAGCCAAAGTTTACACTCCTTTTTTTCCCCCCGAGATAAGGTTTCTCTGTGTAGCTTTGGTTGATGTCCTGGAACTAGCTCTTGTAGACCAGGCTGGCCTCGAACTCACAAACATCCTCCTGTCTCTGCCTCCCAAGTGCTGGGATTAAAGTTGTGTGCCACCACCACCTGGTCAAAGCTTGCACTCTTAACTACACCTACCACAAGAGACTATCCTCCATCTCTCAGTGTTCTGTAACAGTATCTGGCAAAACAGACCCTCTAGTGAAGAGAAAGTCTACAAACCCAACCCATCCCCAAAATAACTGTCCCAATCAAACTCTTAGTTATTTAAATTACTCCAAGCAGATACTAATTACTCAGCCTTCCTACCTCCTCTTGTGTACCTGCACTGCAGCGTAAGTGGGTAAAATCTGCAGATCTCACTTTACTGTCTTCAGTGGCCCAGACTAATCTAAGGTTTTCACGATCTGCTCTGTCATTCTTGTTGTGCTATCACTGCATCCTCTTGCAGGCCACGCACACCACATTTCTCAGGGACTCTAACCCACTAAACACGTCTCTCACGTCCATTCCTGAGTTTCTCTGGTATATCTGCCCTGTCTCTTCACCTGGCACACTTCTTTGGGTGTCTTTTCTTTTCCCCCTACAGGTGAGGAAGCATCTCCATCATGCGGTAATGTAACTTGCTTCTGATGTGTTTCTGCTTCATTCTGTGATGGCAAAGGCTATATATGCCTTCTATAGCAATGACTTTTTAGGATTAATTACATTGGTTGGACCCTGTAGATACTCATTTGTTGAATGAACAAGTGAACTGAATTAATGTAGCTTAAGCATCCTTCATTCAAACACCCACATACACCAAGAAGTATATTAAATCAGTAATGGTGCCGGGCGGTGGTGGCACACGCCTTTAATCCCAGCACTCGGGAGGCAGAGGCAGGCGGATCTCTGTGAGTTCGAGACCAGCCTGGTCTACAAGAGCTAGTTCCAGGACAGGCTCCAAAACCACAGAGAAACCCTGTCTCGAAAAACAAACAAAAAAAAATCAGTAATGGTGCCCACTTTGTATAGCACACCTTCACTTGCATGCTGAAACTTTTAAGGAAAGTGTGTCCATGAGTGTTTGTATATGTGTGTACATGGTATTAGTATTCCCCATACTTTAAGAAATCAGAAATAAGCCAGATGGTGGTGGCACACGCCTTTAATCCCAGCACTCAAGAGGCAGAGGCAGGAGGATCTCTGTGAGTTCAAGGCCAGCCTGGACTACAAGAGCTAGTTCCAGGGCAGGCAACAAAGCGACACACAGAAACCCTGTCTTGAAAAACCAAAAAAAAAAAATCAGAAATAGCAATTATTATACAAAATGCCCTAGATTATTAAATGTTGGTAACCAACACAAAACTTAGCAAAAACAGCATTAAGAGCCAGATATGCTTGTGAACCAAATTTGGCCCTGGGATCACTGGGTTGTGATTTAAGTGGAGCTGCCCATCTTGAACCCATTCCATAATACAGAGTGGCTACAAGGAAAACCTCTCCTATTCCCACTCCATCCCTAACTCACCATACAGGCAGCTTGCACAGCTTCAGAAAGTCCCCCAGCATGAGGCTGGCACCAGAAGGCTGCACACTGGAATCTCTGACAACCAAGGTCAGCGATGAGGCCAAAGGTGTGTGGATCACGGCCAACACCAATAAAGGTCACAAGACGCACAGGGCACTGCCACAATGGTTCTTCCTCTGCACTAGCCTCTGCCTGCCCACACAAAGCCTAATCACTACATAGTTAAGCAATTGCCAGACCCAATACTTCCAGTAAAGACACACACCCCCACCTCAACATGCCTGCTTACCCTCCAAAGCCCCGAACTTCACCCTCCCGCGGTACCTGAATGGAATGCGCAGTCATCAGAGAGTCAGACACACTGAGCATAGCAGGAACCCAGGTTTTCTGGTCCCCGCGGGCAGTGAGGGTACCAATGGCCTCATTCAGCACATCCATACCTGAGGAGACATGCCTACTGTGCTGTCTGGCTTGGATAGAAAGGGTGTACAGAGAGTTTCTAGGACCCTTTCATTAACTTGGGATTCAGAAAGATGGGAAAAGAAGAGCTGGGGCTGAGCTTGGAATTCTGAGTTGGAAGAATGGGTATATCCCAAATTATATAAGGTAATGCAAAAACTCTAAGACTCAATACAATGTAGCTCTCAACTCACCCATACTCTCTTTCCTAACACACCGGAGCCATCAGTCCCCTTAGTCCTTACCCATGGCTTTGTTGACTGGTAGGGTCCCCATGTACAGTGCCTCGTATTTCTGAGCAGCCTGGCTCACTGCATCCAGCAACTCCACTGAAACACATATCATATCAAGCACCAATCTAGCACAGAAACTCAGTTGCCCCTTCCCTTGCTGTGGACTACACCACTATGTGTAAGTTTTACTATGTAACCAGCTCTGGCTGGCCTGGAACTTGTGACAGTCTTCCTATCTCTGCCTTCCAAGTGCTAGGATTACACCATGCCTCCCCATGCCTCACTTCCGCACCCTAATGAATATGCCAGGACTCAAGCTAGAGCTGAGGCTAGTAAAGGAGAGCCTGTAGATGCACCTTCAATTCACTGCTTTGGATTCTTGGATCTAGACTCTCCAGGAAGAAGCCAACTCACCAGGAACCCCACCCCCGTACCACCTCCATCTCTCACTAAAGCAGCCTGATGTTGCAATGCAGCGAGCCCTTCCCCATACCTTGCCTTGGTAAGTCTTCAGGGGAAATAGGATCTGGGGAACAGCAAGCAGCTTCTCCACTGACTCCTACCCTCTCCGACAAGATCTAAAATACAGCACAGCCAGCATGAGGTACACAGAAAGCCAAGCCCACCCTAACCCAACTCCATATTCCCTGGCCACCACTGGCCCTCACCTGTGCACAGAGCCCCTGTAGAGCACTTGCAATGGCCTTTGCAGGCACATCACAGCGAAACACATGACACTTGAGCATACAGCTGTCTTTGTCACCCGCAACAAAGGCAAAGTCCCTAGCAAGGGCAGGGATAAGACTATTTAGGCCAGGGGCTTCTAAGTGCCTATAAGAAACTTCTAAAGTTAAGCTAAAGATATGGCACAGTTGGAATGGGGAAGCCAGGGACAGGGCTCAGAGTATCTAGTTGTCACATACCTGTCACTGTTCCAGAAGCATGTGGGAGCACAGGATAAAATCAGCCCAGCCTCTCAGCCTCTCCCCCATCTGTCCCTGCTGTGCTGGGCCCATGGGCCCACCCACCCCAACCAGGACTGAACCAGGCAGGGAAGGTCATGCTGGGTCCACATCAGAGATCTGTGTCCAAGGGTTCAGCATCAGTGGGGATGGCAGCCTGCAAGGGGGAAGGGTGATGCAATTCTTGCTCGGGGGAACACAGAAGTCCTCACCGGCCCTTGGAGCTGCCCACACCCCAGACACGGATGTGAACCAGAGGCTGACAATGGATCAAACTGTGGTCCAGGGGATTCACCAGGCTCATGGCATCTTTCTTCAGGATCATCAACATGTTCTGGCCCTGCCAAGGACAGAGTGTTGGCAGATGAAGGTGGCTAACATGGCAAACAAGCAATTTACGGAAAACCTACCTCCGCTGAGCCATAAGGTGAACCCCTGAAGAAATCAGACAACTCACCTCACCCCAGGCACCATCATGGGGCTGGCTCCGGTTGCGAGTCTGGGCCAGCTGCTGGATACAGTTATTGACAGCAATACTACTCTTCCCTGGTGCCAGGTCCTCCTCAGGCACCTCTACCCAGCCCAGAGAGCGGACTGCAAAGCACTGACAAGATGGGGAAAAAGAAGTGACAAGCTGTGGAGTGGCATGACGGGTGACACAGGACCCATCCACATCAACTCCGGTCGTCCTATTCTTTATACTTAATCAACCCACTCATTGAATAATTCAACCCCTGATCTTTCCCTTGAAACTGGCCATCAGCTTCAATCACTACCTTAGCTCCTGGCTCCAGGCTCCGGACATAGGAATCTTCACCATACCATGTCAGAGAGTTACTGGAACAGATGACAGCCAGTAAAAGGATTAGGATTCCTACGTTAGGGCCAATAGTGAAACCTAGCCTACTTGATCCAGCACAGAATCTGGGACAAGACCCAAAATATAGCACCACAAATGCAAACCCAGAAAAAGCAGGCCCCAGAATATGGTTAACCAAGTACAGTTCAAAATTTGAAGAAACCCAGTACACAAGACACAGGCATAAACTAAAATAAATACGGATATGAATTAAAAGTGTGGACAAAAGCCTCAAACTAGAACAAGAGACTGTAGAACACAAAATAGGAATCCTCCCACCCACCCCCAAAAAACTGAAGCGAACGGATGGAGTCCACTAGAACATGATGGGTCAGGACAGAGGACACAGAACATAGACCTAATGATAAGGACTTGCAACAGACAAAAATCAAAATACACAACCGTCAAGAACATGGAAAAGCCAAGCACAAATAGAGCCCCAGAGTCCAGAACTACAGTTTAAAAGCAAATTGTGAAGACAGGCACGGTATCTACTGTGTGAGTTCCAGGTCAGTTATGGCTACATACACAGTGAAATCTGAGACCGTCTCAAAAAAAAAAAAAAACAAAACAAACAAAAAAAAAAAAAACAGGAAACTGTGGGTCCAGCTTCATTCTTTTGAGTGCCACGATAACCACAAGGCTTTCATTTGGCCTGGGCCACCCCTGTTACCTCCGGTTCAATGAACTGTCCAGGCTGGAGAAGGATCTCCCCTTGGGGGGTCGCAGTTCCCAAATCCCCTCCGTCCTCTATGGAATAGAGATTAGTCAGTGTAGCAGCAGGCCTAGGTGCACACATGAGCTCAGACACCCCCCCCCCCCCACGTTCCACCTACCGTTCCTGGGTCCTCTGCACCTCCTAGTTCCCAGGTTGGGCGCTGCCACTGAGTGCTGCCGCTGGGTACATGCCAATAATAAGTGCCTGCAGCATCACGGATCTTTCTCCAGCCAGGGGGTAATCCTGTCTCCCCCTCCAGATTTTGGTCCCCCCACAAGTCATCTATAGGAACAAGGGGTTAAATCAAGGGGCCACATTACTCGTGAGTTCCCAACGATTCTGTCATAACCCTCGCTCCATCCCAGAGGAGACAGCCCTAAACTTAGACGTCAACTCCCCAGTCGTAAAGACAGCACATGCAAGGATCAGTGTTTCCTTATCCCCTGGTTCTCGTTCCCGAGATGCCACCCACCTCCACCCCATGTTTAAGCTTCGGGTAGCCTTCCTTTACCCCTAATAATCCCCTCAGCTTTTGGTCCTCCCAACCGGACCCTCGGTGCGCACCATCGCAGTTGACCAGAATGATGGCCAGCATATAATCCTTGCCCAACATAGCCTATGACAGCCTGCGCTCTTAGCCCACGGCGACCTCCGGAGCTGCAGGGCCCCCTAGCCCAGCCTCTGCGCCGGAGACCGCCGGGCCAACGGGGCGGGATTGGGCCGGCCTTGGGGAAGGGCAGAGGCGGGCCTGAGCTGCAGGCGCCGCGGCGTCCGGGTCGCCGAGTCCTCGCGCGTCTCGGTGCGTGTGCCCTACGAAGTGCACCGACACTATGAACCCCGCACCCGTAGGCAACTAGGAGTTCCTCGGACGGCGGAGGACCGGCGAGAACGTGTCCTGTGTGCACCAGGGCGCGGATGACATCATCGCGTGGAGCATGAGATCATCACGTCCCGACCTTTGCCCGCCCGCGTACACGGCCCAGGACCAGACGGGAGGGATCCAGTGGCCGTGCCTGAGCACAGCCTAGAGTAATAGGGAAAAAACGCCACGCCTTTTACCGAAATGCCCCGGAAGTGCCTCTACCCTCAGTAGAGTTGGAGGTAACCTCTGACACACGGAGGCGGGGCTGCGCATGCGCAACAAGTTCGGCGGGGAAGATGGCGGATGACAAGGTGAGTTGAAATCCACGGGTGCTTCGGTCGGCGTGGTTTTCAAATTCCTTAACCTTTATAGATTTGAGCAGAGACGACGGAGATAATTCTTGTTTTTCCCCTGGGTTCCTGTCAACTGCCTAAACAGTAGGGGGCTTTAGGCGAAAAGCTGCTCTTCCCGGGACTGACACGGTGCCTAATTCGGAGCACACATTCAAATATATTCACTATGTAGCAGTGCTCATTCGGGCCGTTTCCTCGCCCCTGAAGTCTCCCTTACAGAGACAGCATTTCCATTCCACCCTTACCACCGCCCTCACTCAAACGCTTCCTGCTTCCTACGGACTTGCCACCAGACCGAGTCTTGTAGCCACCCTCCTGCTGACACATGTTCGCCACATATTCGTGTATTCTCATTCAGTATGAAATGACCTGAGCAGATAGCAGGTTAGCCTCGAATTGTACGGGAAACTGCTTCAACCTGTTATTTTATTCCCAGCTGGTCCAGAAGCCCAGCATCACCCACAGATTTATTCCTAGCCTGCCAGTTTCTCTGTCAGGTACTGGGACACAGCAACGAAAGCAGGCTAATGGCCATTTTCAGCAAGCTTGAACTTCAGCCAATAGTGTTTCCTTCCTAAAGCTAAATAGAAGTGCCTCTGCCCTGAGATTCTGTGGAAGTCATTATAAGTTCCTCATGCACGTTCCATCTGTCACCACCCGGCCCCCACGGGAGTGTTTTGCTTTTCAGTGTCTGCCTTCCTTCATCACTGCTGCCTCAGGAAGGTGTTGTAGGAAGAGATTTATTTGGTTCTTCCCATCATCCCTCCCACAGCTCACCTAGTTCCTAGCTTCTGATAAAATTGAGCAGGGCATGGGACTGGGTCAAGTCTGCTGGAGCCAGCCTCTCCCTTGTCCTAGGATTCTCTGCCGAAGCTTAAGGACCTGACATTTCTCAAAAACCAGCTGGAGCGCCTCCAGCAGCGTGTGGAGGATGAAGTCCACAGTGGCGTGAGCCAGGTAAGGGCCCAGTTGCTCTTGGGAATGTTGAATAGCACGTAGAATTTTAGTTTAGCGAATGGACATTGAGGGCTCAATGAAAGTCTCCCTGAGAAAAAAAAACTGGAACTGGGCATTGTGGTGCAGGCAAGTTCAAGGCCAACCTGGACTACGTAGAGGATTGTAGGCCAGCCAGTGCTACACACAAGAGAGCCTATCTCAAAACCAGCAGGGGAGGGAAAAAATAGCACTTAAGCTGAGATCTTAAATAGGTGTTCAATAGGTGAGGTTGGGGTGGGGGCATTCCAGGTACAGCACAGACAAACCTTGGTGATGAGCAGCATGGTGAACATGAAGCAGGAGAAGGGTAGTTTGTGTCATCAGCGACCATGCTGGGAAATGGAACTGGAGGAACAGGCAGGACTCGGGTTCCTCAGAAGCCTCTCTTGCATTCTAGGTGAATGGCATTCTGGGTAGACCCCTCTCGGAGTCTGGTATTGTGTGCTTGGGTCTCTGATATTCTTTTTCTGGCTCCAGAATTTTGAGATATCCTTGGAGAAAAGAGCGTAGCTGTCGGCAGTGAAGACGGGCAACAGTCGAATGCTCTAAGCCCAGCTTAAAGAGGAGAGCACACCTGATTTCCTTCTGTGTTTTTCCCTGCAGGATGGCTCGCTCTTGTCCTCCCCGTTCCTCAAGGGATTCCTGGCAGGCTATGTGGTGGCCAAACTGAGGGCATCCGCAGTATTGGGCTTCGCAGTGGGGACTTGCACTGGCATCTATGTAGCTCAGTCATATGCTGTACCCAACGTGGAGAAGACCCTGAAGAACTACTTTAGGTCACTACGAAAGGGGCCCGACTAGACCCTTTGGGGAAGGCAGGATGGGCGTGTTGGGCCTGCAGGTAGAGGCCTTTCTATCACAGGCACTCTGTCTGGCTTCCCCTGCCATTGTTCATTTGCTGTCTCCAGCTGACCTGTCTCTTTCATCCTTGTTTGTCCTCCTGCGGAGAGTGGACAGTGCTTGGTCAGCCTGCACCCTGCACTCCTTCCCCCCCTAGTTCCATGGGACTAACCCCAAAACTATGGGTTCAAGCCCTAACTGTGGAGCGTGCACCTGACCCTGACGTTCAGTATTCTCTCTGGTGATGCACCACCATTCTGCACTCGATTTCCTTCAGATGCCTCCCTGTCCCTCTGTCGCTTGCTAGCTACACAGGCCACCCAGGGTCTGGTGTAGGCCATGAGTGTAGAAGATGGGGGTGTGCCAGGCCTAGCCCGTCCAAGACGGGCTCGCTGGACCCTGATGCTATTCCTGTCCACTGCCATGTATGGTGCCCATGCACCATTCCTAGCCCTGTGCCATGTGGATGGCCGAGTGCCCTTCCGGCCCTCCTCAGCTGTGTTGCTCACTGAGCTGACCAAACTACTGCTGTGCGCCTTCTCCCTCCTGATGGGCTGGCAGACATGGCCCCAGGGCACAGCACCCTGGCGCCAGGCTGCCCCTTTTGCCCTGTCAGCCCTGCTCTATGGCGCCAACAACAACCTGGTGATCTATCTGCAGCGTTACATGGACCCCAGCACCTACCAGGTGCTGAGCAATCTCAAGATTGGAAGCACAGCTCTGTTGTACTGCCTCTGCCTTGGGCGTCGCCTCTCTGCACGGCAGGGGTTGGCACTGCTGCTGCTGATGGCTGCAGGAGCCTGCTATGCGTCGGGTGGCTTTCAGGAACCCGTGAGCACCCTTCCTGGACCTTCGTCAGCAGCCGGATCCCATGCCATGCCCTTGCATATCACTCCCCTGGGACTTCTGCTCCTCCTCTTATACTGCCTCATCTCCGGCTTGTCCTCGGTGTACACAGAGCTGATCATGAAGCGACAGCGGCTGCCCTTGGCTCTTCAGAACCTCTTCCTCTACACTTTCGGGGTGATCCTGAACCTTGGGCTATATGCTGGCAGTGGCCCCGGCCCGGGCTTCCTAGAGGGTTTCTCTGGGTGGGCAGTGCTGGTGGTGCTGAACCAGGCGGTAAATGGACTGCTCATGTCTGCTGTCATGAAGCACGGCAGCAGCATCACGCGCCTCTTCGTCGTGTCCTGCTCCCTGGTGGTCAATGCTGTCCTTTCAGCAGTGCTGCTGCAGCTCCAGCTTACAGCCATCTTCTTCCTGGCCACGCTGCTCATTGGCCTGGCTGTGTGCTTGTACTACAGTAGCCCCTAAGGCCTTGGCCGCCCCCACGCCCACTTGTGGCTGTGTAGATTAGATGCAACCACCAGACCACCTCCTATCTTACCACCACACCCTGCCCAGCAGCCCTGTAACAAGTGCCTTGTAAGAAACACTAAGGTAGCTGTGACCTTTGGATGTTCAGGGAGGTGAGCGTTACCCCTAGGAGGTATAAAGAGTGGGCTTGGTTAAGGAAGCGCCTAACCACACCCCTATATTCCTTCATACTAAAGAACTGGGAGCTCCAAACCCAAGCCCGGGCATCCTGTCCTTGAGGAACCCTGCCTCGTCCTGCATGCACATGGCTACTTAAGTTTGCTCTTCTTGCCTGCTGTGGTCACTCCTGAAGACCCCTGCCCTGAAGCTTGGTGCTGGCTGCTCTGGCCCAGCATGGTGTCCACATAAGGGATTCTTAGTTTGCCCTCTCCACAGTGCTGCTCCTCTTTCCCAGCCATTATTCTGGAAAGGTCAGAGGGGGCTGGGGTTTGTTCATCTCAGGAAACGTTGCCCCTGGGCCCTGGCTTAAACCTACACTCCTGACCCCTGTGCTAACTCAAGGGCCCCGCTGAAGCCCACTTGACCTCTAAGACACCTAGGAGGTACTGTTTTTCCCACTCGTTCCCCCTCCTAGAGGTATTCCACCTCCCAACAGCCACGGAAGGCTCTGCAGAGTAACCAGGGACCAGGTACAGAAAACGTTCATAGCTGATCAGTGTCTAACTACTTAAGCAATAAGGTCTTAATAAAGTGTTGAGGGTGTAGGGTTCTTCCTACAGCCTCTCACAGTTGTGCTTGTTCTCTGTTTTCTGCGTTTTATGGTGTGAGTTCCCTGAGGGTAGCCTATGCCTCAGTTACCTTCTCTGTAGGGAAAAGTTCTCACTTGAAAACCTGCAGTAAATGAAATGGGCTAAAATGTGCCAATTCGTAATCCAAGCAGTCCAGTGTTCCCAAGAGTTTCAAGAAACGCTAACAGGAAATTGCCTCAAGTGACGATAAGCTGTTCACCTGTGGAAGAGGGGTAGTTAATGAGGTAGTGAACACTGGGATCTTTGGCAGGAAGAAGCAAGAATTGTTGCGATTTTAGTCCAGGCTCTATCTGGGAAGAAAAATATCACTATTCATATGTGAAGTCTGTCCTGGAACTAGCTCTTAGAGCCTTCAGATCTCTGGTGACATGCCTTTCCTACCTTCTCATACACAGTAAAGACAAATCTCATCTCTGCTGTATTGATGCTTGCTGGGTTGTAGGCATGACTATGAGAATGGAGGAGAAAATCTTTCACTATTGCTCTCTTGGCCCTTCCCTCTCTTCTTCTCTGTCCTACACACCTGCCACTCCCTTTATGTTCTCTCTTTTGTTTGTGCTTGGTCTTTTTCTTTATGATGCTAGAGGTTGAAGCTGGAGCCTCAAAACACCCTAGGCAAACACTATTTGCTGATTTACACTCCCAGCCTTTGCTCTCTATTCTCAGACTTAACTCTTTCCTGTCCCAAAGCTTACCATACTGTTTATGTGGATCCAAAAGTTTTGGCCAGAAATTAGAGGTATATCAACACATGTACACTTTTTTTTTTTTTTTTTTTTGGTTTTCCGAGACAGGGTATCTCTGTGGCTTTGGAGCCTGTCCTGGAACTAGCTCTGTAGACCAGGCTGGTCTCGAACTCACAGAGATCCGCCTGCCTCTGCCTCCTGAGTGCTGGGATTAAAGGCGTGCACCACCATCGCCCGGCACGTGTACACTCTTTTAAAGCTTGCTCTTCGTTTTGTTGCCATCACAGATAGTACTTCCATCTAACTGAGGCAACTCAGTGGTAGAGTGCCTGCATGAGGGATTTTTGTTTTTTGTTTTAATTTTATTAATATTTATTGAGCTCTACATTTTTCTCTGCTCCCCTCCCTGGCTCTCCCCTCCCTCCCTGAATCTTCCCCCAAAGTCCCCGTACTCCCAATTTACTCAGGAGATCTTGTCTTTTTATTCTTTCTACTTCCCATGTAGTTTATATCTATGTAAGTCTTTCTTAGTGTCCATATTGCTGTTCTGGGATTGTGGTTTGTAGGCTGGCTTTCTTTGCTTTATGCTTAAAAACCACCTATGAGTGAGTACATGTGATAATTGTTTTTCTGTGTCTGGGTTACCTCAAAATAATGTTTTCTAGTTCCATCCATTTTCCTGCAAAATTCAAGCTGTCGTTATTTTTTCTGCTGTGTAGTACTCAATTGTGTAAATGTACCACATTTTCCTTATCCATTCTTCGATCGAGGGGCATTTAGGTTGTTTCCAGGTTCTGGCTATGACAAACAAAGCTGCTGTGAACATAGTTGAGCACGTGTCCTTGTGGCACAATTGAGCATCCTTTGAATATATACCCAAAAGTGGTATTACTGGGTCTTGAGGAAGGTTGTTTCCTAATTTTCTGAGAAATCGCCACAGTGACATTCAAAGGGATTGTACCAGCTTGCATTCCCATCAGCAGTGCAGAAGTGTTCCCTTTACCCCACAACCTCTCCAGCATAAGTTGTCATCAATGTTTTTGATCTTGGCCATTCTTACAGGTGTAAGATGGAATCTTAGAGTTGTTTTGATTTGCATTTCTCTGATGACTAAGGATGTTGAGCATTTCCTTAAGTGTCTTTCAGCCATTTTAGATTCCTCTGTAGAGAGTTCTCTGTTTAGGTCTGTACTCCATTTTTTTATTGGATTATGTGATCTTTTGGTGTCCCAATTTCTTGAGTTCTTTGTATATTTTGGAGATCAGACCTCTGTCTGATGTGGGGTTAGTGAAGATCTTTTCCCATTCTGTCTGCTGTCGTTTTGTCTTGTTGACCGTGTCCTTTGCTTTACAGAAACTTCCGTTTCAGGAGGTCCCATTTATTAATTGTTTCTCTCAGTGTCTGTGCTGCTGGGGTTCTATTTAGGGAGTGGTTCCCTGTGCCAATGCGTTCAAGTGTACTTCCCACTTTCTCTTCTCTAAGGTTCAATGTGGCTGGCTTTATATTGAGGTCTTTGATCCATTTGGACGAGTTTTGTGCATGGTGGTAGATATGGGTCTATTTTCATTCTTCTACCTGTTGATATCCAGTTATGCTAGTACCACTTGTTAAATATGCTTTATTTTTTCCGTTTGATATTTTTTGCTTCTTTATCAAAGATCAGGTGTTTGAAGATGTGTGGATTGATATCCAGGTCTTCTATTCGGTTCCATTGGTCCTCCTGTCTGTTCTTCTGCCAATACTAGGCTGTTTTCAGTACTGTAGTTCTATAGTAGAGTTTGAAGTCAGGGATTGTGATACCTCCACAAGTTCTTTATTGCATAGGATTGTTTTGGCTATCCTGGGTTTTTTTGCTTTTCCAAATGAGGTTGAGTACCGTTCTTTCAAGGTCTTTGAAGAATTTTGCTAGGATTTTGGTGGGCTCCCTGAGTTTCTTAACGTCTAGAGTAGGAGAGAAATCTCCCAGCTGTTGCCAGTGGCATTGTTTGTTTTGGGAGCTCTGTGGTTCTTGGACTGTCTTGACCAGTTATGGTGGAAGTAGAGCAGGAAGAGCTTGGGTTCAAGGTCAGGCTGATCTGCTTGAGGAGACTCAGTCTCAGAAAAGGAAGCATTGAGGGTGTGGTGATGCAAACGTGTGTCTCTCCTCTGG